GGTTAGAATCTATGTGTAAAACTCATCGGTCTCCCTTTTAAAGGATAAGGAAGGGAGCAAAGGATTATTTGACCTTGAGATCAGTTCATCCAATGATAGCAAGGTGTTGGATAGAGCGTTAAGGTTAACACTGCATTGCCTCCTTCTTCATGTTCTTTATCTAATTCATTACCAAGCACTTTAGTTTTCTTCACAAACCACCCTCATATTTGCCATTCTCTTCCTTTTTACGGCTGCCATCTAAAGCTAAGACTCCTACCCTTTATTCCCCTGGTGTCTCTTACTCTGAAACATTCTGTTACTATTTTAAAATAAGCATCCTAAATATTCCTATCTTATCTGTCCAGCCTTATTTTTCCACTGTTCTTTGCCATCGTCCTGTTCTCTTCACTAAATTGTAAAATGCATGGTGAATACTCAAGAACCAATCTAAATTGGTCCTCTCAAATGGCTGGTTAAGGAATGTGTATGGGTGACAAATTTTAGTGGAAGTAGGAAAGTCCTAACCCTTTGACCTCATGTTCCACAATTCATCACACTTTATAGTTGGGGTATTATAAGGTGAGCTCCAGATCCTTCCAGAAGCCCAGACATAATTTGTATGGTTAAGTATCATAGGTCTTTATGACCCTCCAGAGTAATTGGAGGTGTCCAGGTGTAGAGGAGTCTTTCCAGAGATTGATTCTGCATCAGGCCTGAGAAATCTCCTTCTGAATACTGCTAAACATTTGTGTTTCCTGGGTAGGAGAAAAGCTTCAGGAGTTTCACGACAGACCTTTTATCTTTAGGTTTACTTTTAAAATTCAATATGACAATTAGCCATGAGTATATTTCTTATGAACTATCTGTAAGATATATATCTAAGTAGTGATACTTTTCTTTTCCACTAGGTTTTTGCTGAAGAGGGCTTAAAGCTTGCTTCAAGTGTACAAGTTTTCTTAAAACAGGTAATGCAAGTCCGCCTGCTTGGTCTTGATGGTGATGTCACAAATACCCACTTGGGGGATATATTATTAAGGTGTAAGGGTATTTAAGGTTTAAAAGATGGTGTTTGTTGGAGTTGTTATAACTTCCTAAATTATATTTCAGCTGAAAGATGATGACAAGCTTATGCTTCTCCTGGAAATAAACAAGCTGATTCCTTTATGCCACCAGCTCCAAACAGTAACTAAGACACCTTTGCAAAATCAAGTGTTTCTAAAGGTAAAAGGAAGAGTGCGTTACTCGGGAGACACTTGAGAAACTTTCACACTTACCAGGTGTGCTTCTAGCCCATTTTTCTTCAGAGTGTTATCATCCACAGACGGGCAATTTACTTCCATTTTTCATGCCTCGATTGCAAGAATCATTTATCATCTGTAGTTGTAACTGACCCCAGGGAGCAGTAGGTTCACCAAATAAATCAGCTTTCTTTTCTTTCTTTTTTTTTTATTAAAGATTTTATTTATTTATTTGACAGAGAGAGAGACAGCGAGAGCAGGAACACAAGCAGGGGTAGTGGGAGAGGGAGAAGCAGGCTTCGTGCGGAGCGGAGCCCATGCAGGGCTCGATCCCAGGAGCCCCGGGATCATGACCTGAGCCGAAGGCAGACGCTTAACGACTGAGCCACCCAGGCGCTCCATAAATCAGCTCTTTGGACATGATCAATTCCACCACACTGAGCAGCTACCCTTAAATCCTGAGGTCATCACATGTCTAACTAGGGCACAAGTCCCTCAGAGTAGCGGCTCCCGTTGTTTGTCTTAGGGAATTTAGCTTATGCCCACAAAGCAGAGTGCCAGAAGTTGCAAAGTAGGGGGTTCACTGCCGCACTTTGGAGTGTTTTAAGAAGTGCCTAAACAGCTCAAAATAGAACGGGTTGATTTTCCATCCATTCTTCCTGGGGTTCCGTGAAGTGGGCAGGAGACCTGGGCAGCAGGCCCTGCACTTGTGTTCTGGGGCCTCAAGTCTGCTCATGTGCCCTAATCCATATGCCTTTTGAGATCCTTTAAATTTCTACAAGAAATTTTATCAGGTTAAAATGTAATTAATAATACAGTCTTTTGAAGTACCTTTTGTAGAATTTTATTTGCTTGCTTTCTGTCATTATAGGTTGATAAGTGTATTACAAAGACAAGATCCATGATGGCTATTTTGGTCCAACTTCTCTCACTTTGTTATAAACTGCTAAAGAAGGTAAGATAGGTTTTCTGTCTGAAAATCACATTTTAAAAACTAGTTTCCAGAAAAATGCAAAAGAAATAGTTACTATTTAATTTTGCAATTTTTATTTTGAAAGTAAAGTAGAAACTAATTGTCTTAACTCTTTCCAGCTTCAGATGGAAAATAACAGATGGGTCTCAGTTACAAATAAAGACTCCGTGGATGGTAAAACTTGAGAAGCTTTTGGGGTCAGATCTCTCGAACAGCATGCGGCAAAGCTGATATTTTTAGAAAGCAAATGATCCTTTATATTTTCAGAAATTTAACAGTTTTATAAAAAAAGTTATGAAATCTTGCTTTATTTTCTGATCATGAAACTGATTGTGATGCTTTTTAACAGCTAATAAATGCCACAGTAGTTGCTACATTCCTAATTGCAGTGTGAATTTACAATGGGACATTGCCACTAATAATGTTGTTGAAAGTCAAACCAAATATCCCAACTGTCTTAATGACAGTTTAATCCAAAGAAGCTATTTTGAATATGTGCTCACCTTTGGCATAAAATACCTTAATTTCCTTTTCTGTTTTTAAGCTTATCATCTAGAAAACTAATTTTCAGTAGGAAATATATAGTTGTCTGGGTGAACACAGGGGTTTCCTTAAATCTGTGGACTTTTCTTCAGTCCCTGTCCACAATTGTGACTGGCCTCTTCGCTGTCCTGTCACAGATCACCCATGCTAGGAGCACACATTTGTTCTCTGACAAGCATCTCAGAGCACAGGCTCTCTGCTGTCCTGCACGTCTCCCCCCTACCCCCGCCTCTGCCCATTCCCAAAGGCAGGGTCATGGAGCTCACTCCACAGAATCCTCCAGGAACTCACTAGGAGATGGCTTACACTTCCCCTTCTACCATAGCTGGCTAGTCTGTCTGCCTTGAATATTAGCTGGAATCCTAAGCCTGTCTTACTGGTGTAAAAAAATAGTCTTTGAACCATCCTTCATACTGACTGATGGAATGGAAGATACGAGACAGAGAACAATGGAACTAAGATGTTTAAAATAAATTCTGAATAATTGTGCATCTTGTATATGTGCCTTTGGAATGTTCGTTATAAAACATTTTAATTTTAGGGCTTAAAGTTTTTCTTGTTTTTGTCTGGGTTGGGGCTTTGATTGAAGGATCTGGTTTATATGTTCAGTCCTTACAGTATAGTATAACTTTGTTTTGAACTCTTGCTAGTGCTTGTATCCCAATACTGTGAAATTCATTTTGAAATCTGATAGAACATGTCACTTGCCAAATGGCAGTAGTTATATAAGCTTGTCTGATGATTGGTATCTGGGTCAGCGATCACAATCAATATTCATAAGATCCTGAAGAACCACAGTACTACCAATTAGCTAGTCAATATTTTATTGAAGGAAACTTGAACTTACCATAAGCCTTCAGGAGAAAATGGGATACACTTGGCTTAACGACCTTTATATTTCTTTTATAAAAATTATCAAGCATGATTTTTATTCCTTGAAACCAAAATATTCCTTAAAATTACATTAGAAATAATGGGAGAACAATGTGAGGTAATGTTACATGTAAAATATATATTTCTTTTACTATCTTTAGTATCTTTGTTTTCTGATGTCTTCAGGAATCATTATGCTACACAAAATGGGGATCTGCTGGTTTATGCTTACATTTCCAGTTCATAGCACCGTCATTGTAGGTGTTTGTAGAGTTATTACCTGTATCATGTCTGGTGAGTATATTTAAGGGACTGTCATGTGGCACTCAAGTTAAAAGAAGTTTTCCTTGTGAATCAAAAATAACTTTTAGATTTTATTTACAAAATAGTTTTACATAAAAAAATGACAATTTAAAAAGTCCCTTTATTTGAAATTCAGTGTAAATGAGTAGACAATCTTACATCATAAATCAGTTCCCTTTTCAGTTTAGATGATGAGAAAGTTTTTGTTCCATTCAAAGGCATCTGTGTTCTGGATTATGGCAACTTCTCAGTAACTTCTTGGCTGGCTACCCCATATAGCTAGAGTGTGAGACGGAGCGACAAAACTGTACGTATTGCAATAAACAGCTTTACGCTGCATTAGAATACTTCTATGTTGGGAAAGCCCTTTGTAGTTTTCAAAGCCTTTTCCTATATCCCTCATTTAAGAAGCCACAGTGTTACACTGGACTTTGTTTCAGAGAGGAAGGCCATCTGAGCCACATAGGGAGTGGCCAAGTATACCCTGCCTCTCCCCTATGACGTAAAGGGAGAAGAGTTGGGGCTGAAGAGGCGGCACCAGCCTTTTTGGTAGTGTCACTCAAAAGCAGATTGGGTAAAAAAGGCCTGATTTTTTTTTTTTTTTTTTAACTTCAAACTGAGGGAAAATTGAGGCAAAAACAATAACCATGTCATAACATTCAAACCGAAGCATGTCAAAATGTAGTATTTACCAGTGGGTTACAGGATGATGGGTAAATTATTTTTACTTTGCTACTTAACTTACCTGTCTTGTCCAAATTTTCCTCAAAGTGCTTGTCAAATTTTCCTTGTCCAAATTTTCCTTGTTTTTAATCAGAAAAACATCCTTTGTTTGCCAGTTGTTAGAAAGGTAAAAGAACAGAGTGGGTACATGGGCAGGGCAGATCTGGGAGGCTGAGGACAAAATGGGAACCAAAGCTTGTTATGCAAGACGAAGAGAGGGAACTAGGTTAAGTTTGAAGATCAGGCCTCTCTGCGGATGGCTGGGTGTGAAGCATGCATCACACGTGCTGGTTCTTCTTTAGTGCACAGATCGCGTAGGCTGGGGAGGGTAAGCACGCCGTGGTATTCGTTACCCATCTCAGTCCTCATGATGTAGCTGTTGCAGCATTCATGCGCTTCACCACGACTTCTTCATACTGTTTCTGTGTCAGTAAGCCTTCTGTTATGCTTTTACTTTCTTCAAATTTGGGCAACACAACTGCAATGTAGCCTTCAGTGGATGGCTGCGAAGGAAATAGAATATTTAGTACTGTCAAATGTGTAAAATCAGATAAAAAGTATGTGGATTGGATCATACTTTTTTCTGCCTCCTTTACCTTCTCTTGAAGAATAGATGGCTTATGGAGAATGTTTTCATTCACTTCCATCAACCGTCCTCTAACACAGCTGTTCAAAAAAAAAAAGTTGTTTTGAAGAAAAATACTACCTCCTTTGTTTCTCCTAAATTGTGGTTAAAAAGTATCTCACCTAGATACAGTGTATTCTTCTCCATCTGAGCAGTAAATCTTACACAGAGGTGCAAGCTCTGTTAGAAACTGTGCCCCCTAATAATAAAAGGGAAGAAGTAATTAAGTGATGTATATGTTCACTTTCTTTTGAGAGGCAGTTCTCAGTGTGATAAGAGAATATATTCCTGGAACTAGTGTTTTAAATAAAAATGACTTAAGTACTGAAAAACCATTTATTCGAACATTTATGTAAGCGCCTACTATATGGGTCAGGTACCATCAGAGGCTCTAGGGGAAAGAGAAGACTAAGATAAATAACGGGTAATTTAATTAATGATTAAGAGTATATTTTGTCAACTTTAATGAGAAAGCTACATATGGCAAGACATAAAGATTTCAAAAGTGTAGGAAAATCCATCAAAAAGCAATAATACAAAATTCAACATGACAGAGTATGACAGCAATAGTATACAAAGTTACTTTCATTAAGATTCCTAACTTATTTTTATATTAGAACTTAATAGATAAAGGAACTTCTTTATTAGGGTCAATCACTAACACTTTCTGAAGCAGTGATTTTTTTTTTTTAATTAAAAAGAATGCACTTTGAGGGAAATTGGGAAAATACAGAAAAGTTTTAAATAGCAAACAAGAATAGTTTACCCATTATCTTTATAAGCCAGAAGCAAATACTACATTTTAACATTTATCTGTTTGAATGCTACGACATGATTGTTTCATGTACTCCACATCGATGTATCTGGTGAGGTTCTGACAAGTATCTACAAGGAAGCTCATGGGAAACTGATGCACGCATGTCTTTGTTGCTCACTTTTTTCCCAGAAATTTTTCCTATAGTTAACATGGGTATTTGAGGTCAAGATGCTATTCTCTATGACTCTTTACCACTGAAAACATTTTGTTTTCTCTCTTTTTTATTTTTTTTCCCTTTTTTTTCTTTTTTAAAAAGATTCATCCATTTGAGAGAGACAACTTGTGAGTGGGGTGAGGGTGGGGAGACTAGCAGAGTGGGAGGAGGGAGAGGGACAAGCAGACTCCAAGCTCTGCAGACATGGGGCCCCATCCCAGGACCCTGAAATTATGACCTGAGCTGAAACCAAGAGTCAGATGCCACCTGACCACCCAGGTGCCCCCCACTCAAAACATTAGACAGCATACAGATGCTACCACATTGGCTTCAATCGTCTGCATATGGGTACTTCATTTCAAAATACTTCTCAGTGTGACTCCTCACTTTTGGGAGGAGGGGCTGTGGATTTGTCCCAAAGGGTGTGTCTATCCTTGGTCTACGTTAAAAGAGCATAAGTGTTTTGACCCTTTTTTATCACCTCCCTTGGGAGAATAAATGATTGGCAGTGCTGAGAATCAAAACTTATCTGTAGTGGGTTCCATATGCAGGTTCTCCTCTGTTCTTCAATAGTAACAATAGTGTTACTATTTTGGACAAAGATTTATCATGGGAACTTCACAAACACTAACTGTTATACTTGTAATTTGTAGACTTTTATCTTTTTTTCTTTTAAGAAGCTGGGGGTGAGGGGGACTGGAGGAGAGGGGCAGAGAGAGATGATCTCAAGCAGGCTCCATGCTCAGCACTAGCCCATTGCAGGGCTCGATCCCACAACCCTGAGATTATGACCCAAGCCAAAATCAAGAGTTGGATGCTCAACCGACTGAGGCACCCAGGTGTCCTTACTGACTTTACCTTTTAAGAAAGGTTCATGCTTTTCTAAGTCCATGTGTTTCCTGAGCAAGGAAAAATTTCAAACCTACAAAGGGGAGTATAAACAAGGGTCTCTTACAACAGTGAGGGTAATTAGCAGAAACTCTTAGTATCAAGTCAGAAAATGAAGGACCTAAATCATCCACTGAAACCTCCTTTTTTTTTTTTTAAAGATTTTATTTATTTATTTGAGAGAGAGAGCACACACAGGGCACGAGAGGGAAGAGGGTCAGAGGGAGAAGCAGACTCCCTGCTGAGCAGGGAGACCGACATGGGACTCGATCCCGGGACTCCAGGATCATGACCTGAGCAGAAGGCAGTTGCTTAACCAACTGAGCCACCCAGGCACCCCCACTGAAACCTTCTTATCCAAGTGGGTATGTTGGGATACTTCAGTATGTTACTGAATTCTCCTTGGTGTGATACTCTAATAAAATGTGTCCATCCTGCCTGAAGTTGTAGAGGGTAGAGATAATATCCTGTACAACCCAGCACTGTGTGGAGGTACAGGGTGTGGCTAGATAACGTATTAAATTGGCAACAATTAAAGAATGGAAAATGGTAAGGAGCAAATACTCTATTTTTTTCAGACTGATTTTTTTTTTTTCACTACCTGAGGATGTATTTTTTTTAATTTACATCTGAAAGTATATGGTAAAGAAGAGTTGGTCACTTAAATTTTATAGAACTCAGGATACTGGCTTACTAAAACTAGAAGAGACAAAATATCTTGTTATATTGGTAAGAAAGTTGTCCTTTCAAAGGCCTGCCTTCCCCATCTTCCACCCTGGGAATGACAGGAATGATGGTACAGAACTAAAAATAGGACAAATCCTATACCTCCTGAAATAACCTTATTTTTTGGTCTAAGAATTTCTTTGGGGTTAAAGTATTCTTTTTTATTGTTGTTGTTGTTAAAGATTTTATTTATTTATTTGAGAGAGAGAGAGAATGCAAGCGGGGGGAGAAGGAGAAGCAGGTTCCCTGCTGAGCTGGGAACCCCACATGGGGCTCGATCCCAGGACCCCAGGATCATGACCTGAATCCAAGGCAGACGCTTAACCAACTAAGCCACCCAGGTGCCCCTAGGGTTAAAGTAGTCTTAAAATCAGTGCATCACAGGCGCCTGGGTGACACAATCAGTTAAGTGTCAGACTCTTGGTTTCTGCTCAGGGTCATGATATCAAGCCCCGTCATGCTCTGCGCTCAGCACGGAGTTTGCCTGAGATTTTCTCTCTGTCTCTCTGCCCCTCCTTCTTGTGCTTTCTCTCTAAAATAAGTAAATAAATCTTTTTTCAAAAAAACAGGCATATCAGACTGTCAGGGGAGTATGCTGAGCATATATCACTGGATTCTAAGACTGACTAGATCTATCATTACTAAGACATTGAAGATTTAAGTAGAGAATGACAGGTACATACCCGCTTAAATTTCCCAGAGACCTTGTTCTGAAGTCTGCTACAGTTGGTACTGATTTGATAGGAGATGTTTTTAATTGTTTTTCCACTTTGAAGAACTGGATGAGATTCTGCCAATGTGATGACACATATTCTATAAGGAGCAAAAATTTGATGCTGTGTTATTGGTTAATATAATTCTTCCTCATACCACACAGTACTCCCACTGGCACAAGAATATATGAACTGACATTTGTTTAGTCAAACTATCATTTCCCCGCATTTTCCTCTGGCTACTGCTGGAGCTTAACTGTAGAAGGGAATGCAATAATAAAAGAGGAGAAAATGAAACTGAATATCCTTCCCAGAAAAAGGAAGAGTACTACAAGTCTTTAGGTAGAACTGAGGTAGAAGAGAGAAAACTAAGGCATCCCTGTATGTGTAGGATACTACCTGTGCCCTACCCTAGTCCTTTCTGTGAGCTCCGGCAATTCACTGTGGTTAGGCACAGGCTGGTTATTTCACATAGTGGCTGACTGAGGGTGTGGTCCTCCATTTGGATGTTTGGGTAATCAAATTTATTTGGAGTATGCACTGAAAGGCTCATTCTTGTCAGACAAACTTCTCTAATAAATGCCATTTCAACACAGTGGAAGATAATCATTTAACGAATATTCGTTTAACCCAAGACCATACCAGGCTACGATACCAGAAACTTTTTTTAATAATTTAAAATTCCCAATTTGCTTACCGGTTGGAGTGCTGTAGTATACAGTGGTCCTCACAGGGTTTGCCTTTGACATCTAGAAGAATGAATGAGTCTGTTGGTTGTTGAGTCAATATTTACTGCCACTGTGTGGTATTTTTCTTTGGTTTGTAGAGATAATTATGAAGACTGAATACACACTAATCATTGGTATCCCTTCATTACTTAAAAAGATATACATAAAGGCTTCCTGTAAAGTATTTAAAGAGATCTGGCCCAGATGGAATCATTCATTCAATATTAAATGATTATTAACTCTGCTCCATCTTGCTTTATCCTCACTTTAAAATGAGTACATTCATTATTTCTATTAGAAAAAGTACCATTAGCAATGCATTCTTTATATAATATAGTAGCATATGTTTTATCGGTCAATTTTAGAGTGACCAACTCTTCTGGTTTACCCAGGACTGTCTAGATGTTAGCCCTGAAAGTCTCAGATTCTGGGAAATCCCTCAGTTTTGGATAGACCGGGTCAGTCACCCTAGATTTGGCTAAAAAATTGTATGCCATAATATTTTAAAAAATAAGTACACCTATTATCCCTGAATGAAAGGGAGCAAGTAGGGGTTAGAGAAGGATCCTCAACGATGCTCCCACCACTGATTTTTACTGGGTACACAAAGCAGGACAACACGATATCTACTTCAAGTGACAAGTATATGACACCAGCAACTTTTAGTAAAACTGTTAGATTTTGCTTTCTAAATGCCTCCATTCTAACCCAGTTCTCCTCTCCGTCCCTGCCTCTACCATAGTTTCGACCTGATCATTTAAATCATTGTACGTACCGCCACTGCTGTAGGACTGAACCAGTCAAATCCTTGCAGGCATTCAGGGCGATTGCAATCCACCTTCCCTAGGGGTGGTGCTTCACCTTAGACTATCTTCCCGCAAGCGACCCACCCTTCAACTCGCACCGCGACGCCAGACCCTGAGTGCGCCCGCATGTACTGCAGCCCTCCACGGCTTTGCGACTGCCATTCCTTCCGCCTAGAAAGGAACAGAGATCCAGTTCCTTCTATGGGGAGGAAGCGACGGGGAAAACGCGCGTGCCTCATGACCTGTCACCACCGTCCCTACAGCATCAGGCAAATGCGGCCGAACAGAAGCCGACATCATTCCCCACTTACCGGCTTTGTACCAGCGAGTGAAGTAACGATCCACGAGCGACGGAACTGTCAGTCCGGCGGCCGCGGGCTCTGTGGCCATGGCGACCACGGGCGCCACCACCCCGCTCTATGAGACCCGAGCACTTCCTCCGAGCAGGCTCTGGAGGAGGGCGTACATCCGGCGCGCGGTCCGCCGCCCGCGGCGTGCGCACGCGCGCTGCTCCCTGGCCCCGGCGACTCCGCCACCGGAGTTTCTTAGCACTGTTTTGGAGTCCGACGTCAAAGCGGGGATCGAATGCCATAGCTTGGGCGGGAGGGTGGAGGGACAGGGACGCAAGGGCAGCGCCGCTCCCCACCTCTAGCTAGCCGGGGCTTTGGAGAAGGCCGGCCACGCCCCCGCCGCCTCGTGACGTCACTCCCGCGCCGCTGGGCGCGTGTCCCACCTGCTTCGCTCGCTCTTCGCTGTCTCACGGGTCGACCCTCCGCCCACCTTCAGCCCCGACTCCCCGTGGTCGAGCTACCGGGAGGCCCCGTGCGCGTCCCGAAACCTGGAGAGTCGCGGACGGAGAGGTGCGTGTGTGCAGCTTCGCGTGGGCTCTGGAAGGCCCGCTGCGCGTGGCCGGTGAGGCGAGGGTGGACGCACCGCTGTTTGCGGGTCCTCGGAGCTCGGCGCAGGTGAGCGTTCGGCGTGGAAGGCACGGAGTCGGGCGTGTCCTCGGGATGTCCTAAGGGGACCCTGGAGCGTACCTCCTTTGCCTGCTGCAGGAGGCTCGGGAGTGGAGTGCGGTGTGACCACCTCTGCCCTTGAGCCTTGAGTTCTCTTTCTGCAGACATGCCACCTGCTCCATCCGGGGGCTCTGCGCTGCGTTCCGGGGCGACGTGTTGCTCCCCCGGCTGCACATTTACCCAGCCTCTGAATTCCTTGCAGGAGTGGACAGTACCGCCGAACCAGTTAATGTGTGACTGCTGTTAGTGGATTGGATGAGTGTTTGGCGCTGCTTCTCGCATCTACGACTTTTTCGTGGAGATGCCTCCTGTGCTTCTCCATCCAATGTTTGTTATATGGCTCTCTCTCCCTTTAAGCTGTGATCTCCATGTAGGCAGTGACAGAGTCCTCTCTTGTCTTCAGATCCTTGCACTTACCAAGTGCTCAGATGTTTCATGTGGGCCACAAACCGGGTCGTATGATGGATTTCACACTATGCAAAGGATTCAAACCGTATATTGACAGCGACGGAACTAACCAGTAAACGAATAGTTTAATATGAAATGTGAGCAAAAAGAAGGGAAAGACTGTTTTCAGCTGGGGGTGGGGGGCAGAGAGAGTAGAAGAAATGCCATGTCCTCAAATAGAAACTCATTTGAATAGGAGGATAGCAATAATACTTCGTTTTCCAGGTTGTATTTGATGTGCTTGTGAGACATTTTTGTGATAACAGGAGGTTGAAACTGTGGGTTTATTGTTCACTTTGGGGAGGGTCTGGGCTAGACATGTAGATCTAATCAGTGTATCAGTGAGCTGTCTGACACTTGTAGTCATGGGCATGGTAATTAGCCAAGAGGCGAAAGGATGGAGGAGCAAGGGTGGAGGAATTGCCAGAAATTTCAGAGAGGATACAGACTTGATCTGTGGTATGAAGAGATCTTTAGCACAATTAAGGGCTGGGAGAAGTGTAATCGAGGGTGAGAGAGTTGGGGATTGCAGATGTAATAGAAAGGGTACTAGTAAGTTGAGGTCCTGGGGGAGTGTGGAGGATACTACTTGCCTAGCCTTGAAAAGGAGTGGGGACACTTTTGAGAAAAGGGAATAAGGATGATGGGTGTGAAAAGTTAGAGAAGTTCCTTTTGAGCTTGGAACAGTTGGGATGGGGGAGATGAATGATGAGCTCACCTTTGTCAGTGATTTTGGAAGCTCTGTGACTTGAGAACACCCGTTGTTTGCTGTGTTGGTCAGTCAGGGTCCAATCAGGAAAGTAGAAACCACACAAAATTTCAACAGATTCAATATGAAGAATTGGTTAAGTAGCTATTAAAGGGATAAAAGCAAAAGGGAGCAGTGAAGTAATGTAAAAGGTAAACTGATGGAAGTAGCTACAACACTTAGCTTAGGGCTTGGGTTCAAAACGGGAAGATGGAGTTATCATGACCTAATCTTGGAGGAGAGGTACTATTAGAGCTGGGACTCAGACTTCTGATGTTGAGGACTCTGGAATTCAGAGGAGGAGTCCTGCCGTACTGGATTTCAGTGTCTGGAGAGAGACTGCCTGGTTAGTGCTAATATCTGTTGGGGTGGGGTTGATGAGGTTGGTCCTGGGAGTGCTAGGGACTGAGACCAAGGGCCCCTTCAAGAGTGGAGGCCTATTGCTGGGATGACAGTGACTGGCGCAGCCAGAGAGTCCTCAGCTCCTTGTCTTTATCCTCCAAATTCTTATCCTGGGGTTCTTGGACCCCAGGGCTCCACAGGTTGTTGGTTAATGGAATCCAAGTTTACAGGGAGGAATATGAAGACATTTTGATGATCTGATAATGACAACAGTAAAAGCATGATTATTATTAGATAAACTAGCATGAAAGACAGGAGACTCTATACATTGCACCCCAGTTGCCTGTTCTCTTTTCTTGCTCTTCTGTTACTTGCTTACTCCCCTCTAGCCAGTCTCTCATCTCGAATCTACCCATCCTTTCAGATCTGTGTCACTGGTCATCTGTATGTTTGAAGATGAAAGATAGGTGATTTTTATATTTTTTAAAAAAACCCGTTTTCTAGATCTAATTCTAAAAATCTGCATGGTGTAATATAGGTTCAGATAGTTTCCAGAAGTTCTTGAATATGAATGTCACCAAAGCTTACAAAACCATGTTGGCCTTGATTTTCTTCCTCACTCCCACCATGTATGGTCTTGCCTTCCTCTTAACCCACATTACATGTTGTATTTTTATATTACACTTACCATTACGTGCAGTGGTAGGATAAGGGTTTACTCATTTTATTCTTACATTGTCATATGTATGAAATGCAAGATGAGAGAATTCACCTTGGATGAAGGTGATAATAAGGCCATTGTGTTCTATATGTATTTGCCACCCCTACCATAAGTTAGGGATTTCTAATTATAAACTTTATAAACTTTAATGGGGTCTGAGTATAAATATCCAGCACGTTAATGTTCATTTTTTTTTAAGATTTTATTTATTTTTCAACAGAGAGAGAGACAGTGAGAGAGGGTACACAAGCAGGGGCAGTGGGAGAGGGAGAAACAGGCTCCCCGAAGAGCAGGGAGCCCGATGCAGGGCTGGATCCCAGGACCCTGGGATCATGACCCGAGCCGAAGGCAGACGCTTAACGACTGAGCCACCCAGGCGCCCAACATTCATTTTTTTTTTTCTGTTAGCTAACGTTACGCATTAAAGCAAGTCTTATTTGGCCAGACCAAAGTAGGTTTCCTATTTATCATCCTTTTTCACCTTTTCTATTTCACTGTTAAAAACCAGGCCAGGAAAGCCGAATTACGTGAAGTAGTTATATCAAGTCATCAAGCTTCTCAGATGTTGGTCATCACTTTGAAGTAAGCTGCTATAATTTCATAGTGTCTTTTTTTCTCCCTGAGATTAGTAAATACTTTTATTTCTATCTTTAATTTCAGTATTTATTTTTTAAATGAATACATAAACATAAAGCCAGTTTACAAATAAATTTATCTGGTGATATTAAAGCTATTTTATTCTAGATTTTCTTCAACTGACTGTGTGTGTGTGTGTATGTGTGTGTGTATGGATTTTTTTAATATGATTTTTATAAATCTTTCAGATTATAAAGATATTCTTATGTGCAAAAATAAAATGTTTTCCTATTTATTTTGATGTTTTCAACTTTTCCGAGGAATAACTGATGTTAAATCTTTTTGAAGAAAAAATTCTGAAGTTCAGGATCTTGCCTCTCCCAAAGAGTAAGAACGTAAAGTAGATTTCAGAACCTCAGTTTGTAGACCATAGATAAACGCTCTGAGTTGGTGAGGTTGCTACCACACGCCCTATGTGGGTTCAGATTAGGTCTTTTTCTTTTTCTTTTTTTTTTTTTTTTGGTTATTCTAACTACCACATCCCTGCCCCTGAATCATTTTGCTTCTATGAGTGTCATTTATCACTGGTAAGCTATTCCTTTCTCTCAGAGTAGTTCTTCATCAAGGGATATTTGTACTTTTCTTTCAGGAATTGTTTCATCATGAGAAATCTTAAGTTATTTCGGACCCTGGAGTACAGGGATATTCAGGCTCTGGGGAAACCTCAGTGCTTCTCTCTCCGAACTGAACAGAAGACAGTGCTCATTGGCTCAGACCATGGACTGATAGAAGTAGACCCTGTCACAAGAGAAGTAAGTTAGTGATGGAGAATGCAAGCACTTGCAGGACCCTCAACTTATCTTTTTCCAAACCTGCTTCCCCTAGATTGTCTTTAGTTTAAATCTTACTGAATTCATATTCTCCTAAATGTACATTCCCTTTGCTTTATATTAGGTCATATTAGACATTACTTAAATAGTAACCTACCCTTAACTCTGCTTCTGTTTGAAATGTAAGTTGGCAAAATTCTGACTTTATACTTTGTTTGGGTGCCCTACTTTTTACCCTTTCATCATGTAAATAACTGAATCTCAACTGGGAATGCAAGTGAAAATTGCCTGTAGAGCTTTTTAAAATCGTGTTTCAGCCTCCATCCTATGTCAACTAAATCAGAATCTTCACTGCTGGATCCTGAGTGTGTGTGTGTATATATATGTGTGTGTATATGTATATGTATATGTATATATGCATATGTATGTATATGTGTGCCTATATTTATGTATATACATATACATATGTATATGTATATATGTATGTATGTGTGTGTGTGTATGTATACACATACTTAAAAAATCTTTGAGTTGATTCTGAGATCTTCTCTTAATTATATTTTGCTAGTAATGTATTTTAGGTTATTACATTCTTAGTTCTTTTCCCCTATACTATAAAAATTTTAGAAAACCATAGTTATTAGCTTCATGTTTATTGGGCTTTTTTTTAAGAGACCATTCTTCTTGCTTTTGTTTAGTGCTTGCTTGGCAAAAAGGTCCCATTAACTTTTTTTTTTTTTTTTATTAAAGACAGTAGTGTTGTGATATTCTCAAATGAAAGTTTGGATTTTAATCTAGAAAAAAATTGAAAGCTTTTATATTATAAAGGAAGCATTAATTTGTTTTGGAAATGTTATGATTTGTTCTTGTAAATAGATTAGCCTAATTTGTTTATGTGTTTGTTTTGGTGAAAGGTGAAAAATGAAATTTCTTTAGTGGCTGAAGGCTTTCTTCCAGAGGGTGGAAGTGGCTGCATTGTTGGTATTCAGGACTTGCTGGATCAGGAGTCTGTGTGTGTGGCCACAGCCTCTGGAGATGTCATACTCTGCAGTCTCAGCACATGCCATGTAAGTGGAGGAGTCCAGTGAGGAGGAACTCTCAAGCATCCTCAGACAAGTTGCGTGTTGTGTGTAGAAGCTTAAAAAATCAGGAGCTAATGCATAAATATTACATTTAAGCGTTTTGCAAATTAGAGTCCTTGAGTTATGTATTTCTTTACAAAAAGTTGTCAGCATGGCTTTAGCTGTATTTCAGCTGTACTTCAGCTGTATTTCAAAAACTCGATTTTGTGCACTGATGCAGCTGGAATGCGTTGGGAGTGTAGCCAGTGGTATCTCTGTCATGAGTTGGAGTCCTGACCAAGAGCTCGTGCTTCTTGCTACAGGTAAGCTTGTTACTGTCTCTCCCTGTGACTTTTATAAAACATGACTCCAAATATCTTAAAACTCTTTTAGGAGCTCTCATGAGCTCTTAAAAATTACTTGTTTTCCTTTAAGTCTCTTCATCCAGATGAGTTTCTGTAAACTGGTACCCTTGATGAGGTATGTGTTTGAAGAGATAACGTTGGTGAAGTGTTGAAGTTAGTGGAGTAGGGCTGGGTAGACTTTTATGTTAGTTTTACATACATAAATGGCTGAGAATAAGCACTAGGTAACTTATCTGGTCAAAGCTTTTCTTTTTCTTTTTTCAAATGAGAATCAAAATATTTAGAATGAATTATGTCTTCCATATTCTGACTCTAAACTCCTCCACTCCAGTTCTGTAGCTTCCAGTGTTGTAGATACTTACAAAATGGCAAATCTGTTACATGAAAACAAAATTGTTTTTGTTTGTGCCCACCCAAGGTCAACAGACCCTAATTATGATGACAAAAGACTTTGAACCGATCATGGAACAGCAGATCCACCAGGATGATTTTGGTGAAAGTGAGTATAGCTTTGAAACATTTTGTGATCTGGAGTTCCTCTCAAGTTTGATCATTTTCTTGTACACTAATAGCCACATCATAAACCCAAAGAATTATGAAACATATAGCCTCGTGCATTAAATGTCTGATAAGCCCATCCCTTTAGCCCATTCCAGACTGTAAAAGGCATACCCGTGGTGCCTCTCCAAGTCTGAGAGTTCACTTTGCCAGTAACCTGGGGAACAGAAATCTGCTTAATGCCACCTACATAGTTGTTGCCCAAACCTCAGGACAGGCTTAAGCTGGGGCTTCAACGAAAGGAACTATGTTAGCTAAAATAAAGAGAGCATTTCTGGGGTGCAGTTTTGGGGCAAAAACAAGAGAGGTGGGATAGAAGGCTGATTTTTAGTTCCTACTGATTAGACCTGACTCTACATTTTCATGGGAACCATCAGATTGTTCTCTTGCTAAGATCTAGCTGAGGTGATTTGGGCCTTGGAGCTTTGGGAGTATTGAAAGGGGAGAAGGGATGGGGCGCCTGGGTGGCTCAGTTGTTAAGCATCTGCCTTTGGCTTAGGTCATGATCCCGGCGTCCTGGGATCGAGCCCTGCATTGGGCTCCCTGCTCAGCGGGAAGCCTGCTTCTCCCTCTCCCACTCCCCCTGCTTGTGTTCCCGCTCTTCGCTGTGTGTCTCTCTCTGTCAAATAAATAAAATCTTTAAAAGAAAAAAAAGGGGAGAGATGTTTATTGTATATAAGAAGCTCTGACCAACATGAGGGCACCAGATAGATGGCCTGATTGAGGAGAGGGATGGGGGGAGAAGGGATTTTAACTTTTGCTGATTCCTGACCTCATGCCCTCTTGTTCTCCCAACTCCGAGAAATCATTTAGAAAGTTGCTACTCATTTATTCATTCAAAAATAGTTTATTCAGAAATGATTTTTGAGTAGGTACTATGAACACAGCAGTGTGTTTGGTGCTGTGGATAATTCAGCTTTTCTTTTGAGGAGTCCCATAATAACATGATGTGCAGGTATTAGGGTAGCATGAGGGGAGGAAGGGAGCAGTGGACAGGGAAGACTTCCCAGAGGAGGCTGGCATGAGCTAAGTCTTGGCTGGGCCGAACTGGTGTTGGGTCGGTGAGAGTTGAGGGTGGAGGGTCTAAGCAATGGAATTAGCTTATTCCAAGGCACAGATGCTACATAGACAAGTCATGGCTTGTTCAGGCAGCTGTGAGTACTTCGGTATTGCTGCTGGCAGGACATGAGTGTAGCTTGAAATAAACAGGATAGATTTTGATTGAGTTTGGGAGGGAATTTGGATATACAGGTGCTAGCCTTTAACGGTTTTGATGACACAAGATTCATTGGTTGATTAGTGGAGAGGGAAGAGACTGGAGTCAGGGTGATCAGATAGGAGTGCTACAGGAATCCAGATAAGGAAGGTGGGTGTGGGCTAAAAGGAATGAATTCAGGAAAAATTTGATTCTCAGAAAGGAGGGGAATACATTTTTGGAATTATCTGAGAAATGTCTTTGGAATATGTATGCATGGTTGCCCTGCTGTCCTAGCCAGTTTGAGAAATAGCAGTTTAGAAAGTGAAATAAGGGGCGCCTGGATGGCTCAGTCGTTAGGCGTCTGCCTTCGGCTCAGGTCATGATCCCAGGGTCCTGGGATTGAGCCCCACATCGGGCTCCCTGCTCGGCGGGAAGCCTGCTTCTCCCTCTCCCCCTGCTTGTGTTCCCTCTCTTGCTGTGTCTCTGTCAAATAAATAAATAAAATCTTTAAAAAAAAAAAAGTGAAATAAATGGGTTTGGGTATGTAAGGTGAGGAAGAAAGAGTTTAGTGGGATTCTAGTCAGAAGTTCAGGTGATGGGAATAAAGGTGCCAGTAACTGAGAGGTTGGGTGGGGAAGTGCTAGCTTGTAAGCGATAGCTCGTGAGTTCTGGTTTGTTTAAGGACCTTATGGGATTACCATGTGGAGTAGGCAGACATAAGGAGCTGAAGCTCAGGATAGGCCAGACCTGTGGATTGGGAGTCAGTGGCATGGAGGGAATCTTTCCAATCTTGGGAGGAGGTGAATTTGGTCAGGAGCAGGTATGGTGCTAGAAGAGTCTAGGATCCATGGTGGAATTCCTGGGCATCCATTTTTGAAGATAGTAGTGATAGAAGAAGTAACCAGCACACCTTTGGATGGAGAGTGCACTGGGCCTGGCTAATCCCACTAACTTTTTCAGAAGAAGCCTAATGATAGAGTGTAAGTCAAGGGAGAAAGGGTCTAAGTTAGCATCCTAGGTCTTAGACATATATTTGTCAGTACAAAAAAATCATTCTGTGGAGCTGTGGGTAGGTATTTTCCCTCTAACCTAGGAGTTGACAAACTTGTTCTGTGAGGGGCTGGATAGCAGTTATTTTCAGCTTTGCAGGCTATTTAGCCTCTGTTGCAGTTACCTCTGCTGTTGTAGTGCGAAAGCAGTTATAGACAATACATAAAGGAACGAGCATGTCTGTGTTCCAGTAAAACTTTGTTTTGTCTTGTTTCTTAGATGTAGTTTATTTATTTGATAGAGTACGCACACAAGCAGGGGGAGTGGCAGAGGGAGAGGGAGAAGTAGGCTCCCTGCTGAGCAGGGAGCCCGTTGAGAGGCTCAATCACAGGACCCCAGTATCATAACCTGAGCTGAAGGCAGACGCTTAACCTACTGAGCTACCCACATGCCCCCAATAAAACTTAATTCATAAATTAGACATAGGCTGTAGTTTGCTGATCCCTGCTATAACCCCACCACTTACTGTCTGATCCCATTGGATAAGTTCTCTTGCTTCATTCCTTGGTCCTTTACATCTCTCTGGAAAGTTTCAGAAGCACAAGGGTGTGCACCGGGGTGCGCATTGCTGTTCATAGACAGCTGCAAGGTGTGCTTTGAGGTATTATAGTACTCACATGGGCCCATGCGAAGCAGACAGGAAATGGTCATGCTGACCCATAATATATAGAAATTATAAATAGCCCTGCTTCATCAGAATCAGTGGCAGGAGGGAAGTATTGGGTTTTGGATCTGGCTGAAGCTTTTAGAGACATCTCTGTAGTACCTGTTGCCGGTGATGACTGATCCTCCTCCAGGAATAGGGGGCTGCATTATGTAGCATCTCTGATTTCTTATTTTATGCAAGAGAAACATTACGATTTAGAGAGAACCTCAGGCTAGAAGGCAGATACCCTGTGTTCTAATTTTGGCCTCTTCCACTGGAGGGTCTCTCTCAGTCTGTGTCTGTGTGAGGAGTGAATTCCATAATCTGCAGTTCCTTTCACCACTGATAGGGAGGTTGGATACATTTAGTTGATTGAGTGCTTATAATCAGAATTTTATTCCCAGCTCTCGTCTTGAGTTCAATGTTCTTATCCATGGATGTGTCTTGTAAATCCTTCATGTTTCATTCTTCTTGCTTGCAAAGTGGGAATTGCTGACTGTCATCAAGGGAATTTAGAATATATAAAATGGCAGTAAAGTGCTTTCCCATATAAGGCCATTTCAAATTCTTCAAAAAATCATTGCTGCGTATAATATGGAATATTGGTTTTTCAAATATTGAGTGCTGGTCAATTTATTGAGAGGTCTCGGAGGACCCAAGTAATTACCACTGACTAACTTAATAAAGAATAGCAATGAAACTGCTTTTATTTCATTTCATTTAGCTTATTGGTTGTCTTGCATGTTCTCCATCAATTGTTCCCTAGGCAAGTTTATCACTGTTGGATGGGGCAGGAAGGAGACGCAGTTCCATGGATCAGAAGGCCGGCAAGCAGCCTTTCAGGTGCAAACGGTAAGATTGATTGGTCTGATGGATACAGAACCTTGACTGGAACAGATAGAAGTTTTGCCGTCTACCAGGAACTCTAGGTGTCATGTTAGAAGCTAATAATGGACAGAGCTCTTGTGCTTTAGTAAAACTGAAATAGTTTTGAGCCCTCAGGGATGAGTCATTCTAGAAAGACCCTTTTTCCTTGCCAAGTTGCTTTGTAATTTCTTTTCTGTATAGAGAATACTATAACCAATATTCAGTTTAAAAAATATATCATCACAGATAGAAATGAAGCATTTTGTTTATCCTTTCCTGTTACTCTTTCCTTCCTTCCCAGAAATAGCTTTTGTCCTTAATTCACTGTTGATCATTTCATGCGTGTTTTCATACTTTTTTCCTACATATATATATTAGATACTTTTTATGATTTTTCCCTTTGGATGAAACTCTTTGTTTTCCTTTTTTATGAATACCTTTTGAAGGTAGAACTATAGGAGTTACTGATAATAGATTAAATGTGGGGTGAGAGAGAAGAATTGAGAATGATCCCAAAATTTGGGCTGAGCAAATGGAAGCATATCATTTATGTTACATGTAGACATTTCCATGAGCTCCATGGGACAGGTGGATCAATAATACACCACCTGTCATTTACATTTTTCTATCTAACGATTTCTGGCCACCTTCCATATAACTCGTCTGTCATCTCTTAACCATTCACTAGAGGAGGTTTATGTTCTCTGCCGTAGGGCTGTGTCATTGAGAATAGGTCTTGTTAGGCTGCCTGTGTGTTCCCTCCCATGCAGACTGTGGTGCTGGTGCCATTCTGCTGCACCCTATTACTGGAATAGGTGCTCAGGTGGTCCTTTGTTCCCCACTCCACAGAGTCAACCTGTCTTCAAGGCCTTCAGGATTGAGATGCAGGTGTCACTGGAGACTTTTCTTCTTCCCATACTGCGGAACATAGAACTCTTCTGTGTTTTCATCATTGCTACTGGCTTCACCGCCTCTGGTTTTCCCTGCCTACCTTCCTCTCATCTTCTTAACTCGTCTGTGTACTGTTGTGAAGCTTACACAGTAATCAAAGAAGCAGAACTCTACCCTCTTACATTTAGATAAACAAAACATTTATTTCCTTATCCTACTTACCTGGCAGAATATCCAGATCTACAGCTCTTTTCCTCCTTTGCTGTGATTGGAGGCCACTTTTTTTTATGCCTGAAGACAGATTTTGTTTTGTTCTCTTTTCTTGATGATTTCTGGGTCTAAGAGGCCTTCTAGAAGGGTTCCTGAGGATTCTGTGAAGTTGGTTTTCTAGATAGTTGGAATCTCATATAAAAGATTTAACTTTAATAGCCTGGGACTTGTTTGATTCTGGGCCATTTAAGTCCTCCAGTAACATTTGTGTTCCTTCCCCTCTTTAGTACGAGTCAGCTTTGCCGTGGGATGACCATAGACCACAAGTGACATGGCGTGGTGATGGCCAGTTTTTTGCTGTGAGTGTTGTTTGCCCAGAGACAGGTATGGAAATAAATTGCAATTAAAAAGAAATTTTATTTTATGAAGTTCAAGAAAATTTTCTTCCTTTTGCTTTCTAAAATTATACATATAAGGTGCTGTTTTAGGCATTAAATGAATTTAGAGCTAAGAACTGCAAGAATTCTTTGAGGTCATCTGGTCCAGCCTCCTACCTGTTGGGTACAAATTCTTAACAAGATTAATCTACTTGGCAGTTTTTATTAATGAGATGTTTGAATAGTTCTGACTTGACAACATTTTAAGTTTGTCTGTTTATTTTGCAGGAGCCCGGAAGGTCAGAGTATGGAACCGAGAGTTTGCTTTGCAGTCAACCAGTGAGCCTGTGGCCGGACTGGGACCAGCTCTGGCTTGGAAGTGAGTGGGAGAAGAAACCTTGTAACTTCTTCCTCAGAGAATATCTTGGAACTGGGGTAGGGGTGGTGGTACAGGTGTTTATATAACACAAAAGGATATTAACTTCTCCTCATTTGGCTATAAGCCTGTATCTTTCTCTTTCTAGTTTTTCTGAAGCCTGAATTCAATTTGAATAGTAGATTCAGAGCTTCTTCACAGATGTCATCATTCCAAGGCCCACACGTTTTACAGCTAATAGGGCGGGCCTGTATGAAGCCGTTGGCTATGACAGAAAGTGGTGCTAACAAGGGAAATCATAGTCTACAAAGCTCTGTGGGGCAGTGGAGCTTTGGTGAAAACTAGGAAAAGGGCTCTCTTCTCTGCACAAGCCACAAGCTCTTTCGCTAGAGGGTTCTGCTTGCCAAGGAACATGCAGGCTGGATTCAGGCTCAGTTTACCTCGTGTCCCGTGTCTGCAGCTGCCCTGAGTAAAGACCAAAGAAATGTCTCCTGTCTCAGTAGCATCTGTTATATGCCAAACCCCTAGGTCTCTGGGTTTTAGACATGTTTCCCACCGTTATTTGAGTGACAATTGAATGACAGAGCAGAGAGAGAAAGGTATTTGAATTAGAGACAAATATGAATAAAATGAGGTAATTGGGATGTTTTAAGTAGATTGAGAAGTCTTAAATACCTACCTGAGTGTGGAATAGTTGTTGAAGTCATATACTTGAAGGAGAAATACACTGTTTTTATAGGATATTATATTTGGAATAGTTTAAAAAATTTATTGTTTTATTTAAAAGTCACATTGGTGCAGTCTAAATTTGTAAGTCTTTGTGGGCAAATGGAGCCTTTGTGCAAATTAGGAAGAGGCACTCTCTCCTCTGGGCAGGTGTAGTTCACACGAGGCTGAAGTGCTTGCCAAGAGACGTGTGGGGTTTAAACCTTCCTGGATAGAGACTTTTTGTTGGAAGAATCGTTTCTCTTGACTTTCATCTTGTTCTTAGCCAGCTGGCTGCACTTTCGGATGTCCTAACACTCAGGGTTTGCTTTAAGGCCCTCAGGTAGTTTGATTGCATCTACACAAGAGAAACCCAATCAGCAGGATGTTGTGTTTTTTGAGAAAAATGGCCTTCTTCACGGACATTTTACGCTTCCTTTCCTCAAAGATGAGGTTAAGGTAAGTGCCTGAGTTGTTTCACCATCAAATTGAGAGGACTTCCCATAGCTATAGAGGCTTATATCTGATCCGGGCATGTAAAGAGAAACTCTAGAGTAGACAGTAATGAAAATATTGGGTTCTTATAAATGAGTTTTTTTTGAAAAAGAGTTTTTTTTTTTAAGGATCTTTTGCAAAGAAGAAATGGCGTTCTTTCTTACCCTAGGTAAAACACAGATAGAAATAGAAATTCTCCTTTGTATTGTTTATCTGGACAAAAGCATAATGCTTCCAATGGTAGATACTTTTCATTAATAACATTTAAACCTTAAGCTGTTTGTGTATCATTAGGATTTTTACTGGAGCAGAAACTCGAGATGGTAAACTTTAATTATGTAAACATACACATAATTTAAAATTATGTTGCATGTAAATTAAAAATTGAAGCTAAAAGTTGAGAGAAGAGTTTAATGAATGCCCATGTCCTTTTTACTCACTTTCAACAGATGCCAACGTTTTGTAGTTTTTGCCCAGTCACCACTTTCTAACCTAAACACATGCACACGGTTTTGTTTCCTGGGGTTTTAATTTTAGAAATTGTATTTTTAATATTCATTTCTAACAGGTAAGGAAACATTTTTCTTTATAATACCACAAATCCATTATCACACCTTACAAGATTATTAGTAATTCCTTAGTATTATCTAATACCTAGTCCATGTTCAATATTCCCTGATTGTCTAAAAATGTCAACTTGTATTTTATTAAGTCTTAAATTTTTAAGCATAATGCCTTTTTTAAACATCTCCTCCATATAATGACATATTACCTAGATTTGTTTAATGATTCTGTAAGTTCATAATTTATAGCCTGGGATCAGCTCAAGTAGTGGGATTATTTGGTTTGTGAGAGCAGGGAACTCAGCTCTGGTAAAGATTTTGAAGTATATACATAGGTAAAAGCCAATGACACGTCTTTTTTCCCTACTAGGTAAGTGGTCTGTTCTGGAATGCAGATTCCACTGTGCTTGCAGTTTGGCTGGAAGACCTTCAGAGGGAAGAAAATTGCACTCTTTTAAAAACCTATGGTAAGACCGCGCTAGTGTCTCAGCCTTATGCCACATAAAATGTAGTTGAAAGTAGTAGGCTGTGAAGTTGCCTTTCTCCCTCTACCTTGTCCTGTAGTAGAATCAGAGATAACTAAGGGGATAGGTGGAGATGAGGGAGTGGTTTGGTTTTGATTATTTATGGGTTTTAGTCATGTATCAGTCAGGGTTCTCTAGACAAATAGAATCAGGGCAGGCTGGCAGGTGGGAAATTCAGTTAAGAGTTGATGTTGCAGTCTTGAGTCTTAAATCTGTAAGGACAGGCCTGCAGTCTGGAAACTCAGGCAGGTTCTGTGTTACATTCTTGAGGAATTCCTTCTCTGGGAAACCTCAGTTTTTGCTCTTAAGGCCATAAGCTCTCTGCATGAGATCCACTCACGTTATGTAGGATAATCTTTTGTATTTAAAGTTAATTGATTGTGAAGGGTAATCACATCTACAAAATACCTTCCAGCAATATCTAGACTAGTGTCTGTTTAAATAGCTGGACCTCATAGCCTAGCCAAGTTGACATAAAACTAACCATCTCTGTGCATGGATGGTGTTTACTACAGGAGGTTAAAGTGCTAGACACAGGAAAACTAGTAGTGAAAGAGAAACGGCATTAGCTACAAGTAAGAATCATCTCTATACCTTTTTATTGTAGATCAGATTGTAAATATGTATTTGTCAGTGTATGTGTAGTATGTGAAAATATTAGGAAGTAAAGGTGAGAAGAAACAAAAGTTTTTCCATAATTCTGTTGCTCAGTAATGAGCACTGTTAAAATTTTCTTGTCTTCCAGATTTTATGTGTATAAAACAGTACAGCTGTGATCTCAGTTTTGCTAAGTATATGATACAGGTAGATTTACAATGTCACAGACATGTTTCCTTTTCAGGTACCCATATGCATCATTTTAAATGGCTATATAATACTCATTTGTGCCACAGCTTATTAAATCTCATGCTGTTAGGCACTTAAAATTTTATAATTTTTCATATCAACAGCAATGCACTGAACATTTTTGTTAAATCTTTTCACTTGCTTAGTTTTTAAGTGGCTTTCAAACTTTTTAATCAATAGAACTTTGTCTTTAATTGAAATGCTATTTAGAAATTCATTTATTTCTTCATTCATGACACAATCCTTCTCAACGCTGGCTGTGCTTTTAAGAAAAAAATGCCATCCAGGCCTCATTTCAGAGTTGGATTCAGCATGTTAGAATGGGGACTATACATCAGTGCTTAATTAAAAAAATAAAAAAGCTCCCAGGTGATTGTTAACATGCAGCCAGAGGAGTGAACTGCTGATTAGGCAGGGTGGCAGTGGCTGGCACTGTGATATGCTCAGGATAAAAGTGTGGTGCAAGAACAGCCCCATCGTCTGTCGTCACAGAGCATGAGCACGTGGTCTAACCTAGCAACTTACAGCTAGGTAGAAGTGTTCTAATAAAGGTTAGTTTCAACATGGTTAGGTCTTTTCCCCCCAGCTTTATTGAGATACAACAGTGCATAAGCTTAAGATGTACACTGGGATGATTTGATACACGTGTATATTGTGACATGTTTACCACAGTAAAGTTGGTTAACATCCTTCACATAATTCCCAGTTTGGTTAATATGGCGAGAACATTTAAGACCTACTCTCATAGCAACTTTCAGGTGTACCATACAGGTTGTTAACTGTAGTCACCATGTATCAGATCCCCGGAACTTGTGCTCCTCTACCAACATCTCCCCCATTTCCTCCCCGCCCCAGGATTAGGTCTTATTCTTTTAACAGATGTTGGAAGGGACAGTTGCTGATAAAGGATAAGTGGTGATTTTCCTTGGAGAGCTGAATCATGCTTAATACCAGATGGCCTGGGACAGAACTGTAGGGAAAGCTCCTAGGGGAAAAGAATCAGCATCTTAAGCCTAATACAGCATAGTGATGCTAATCTCGTGCTCTCAGATTGAATGTTTTAATACTTTTAACCTCATTGCCTAATTTTCTTCTTTCTAAATCTTTACGAAAAAACAATTTACTTTATAAAGCACTGTTGTCCTAGTAATTTTCAGTCCTCACGATCCTAAAGTTTGAAAGTAGAGACTACCTGAACATGTGTGTTTCTAGCCTTTGTTCGTCCCCATGGGAAACTATTTCTTGACTAATATTATTGTTAATACTATTATTTGGTTGAAGAGGTTGAGCATGAAGGGTCATTTGAAAAAGAAACAATTGCCCCCATCCCCGTCCAGCAGGTGATGGGAAGTCTGGTCGTCTGGCCTTTGACGGCCCTCCTTGTGTTTCCCCTTGCAGTGCAGCTCTGGACTGTGGGCAACTATCACTGGTATCTCAAGCAGAGTCTGCCCTTCAGCACCTGCGGGAAGAGCAAGCTCGTGTCTCTGATGTGGGACCTGGTGACCCCGTCCCGGCTGCATGTTCTCTGTCAGGGCTGGCATTACCTCTGCTACGACTGGCGCTGGACGACTGACCGGAGCTTGGGAGAGAGTTCCAGTGACCTGGCTAACGTGGCTGTCATTGATGGAAGTAAGGAGCTGGGAAGCGTGTCCGTGAGCCTGTGCCTGCGGATGTGGTGGTTTGACTACAACTGGAGAATTTTGATTTGTGTGTGCGTTGGTGGTTTTTTTTATTTTTGCTTATTTCCTGTTTTGTTTTGACTGCATGGGGATGCCCTTAGTGGGGCATGTACTCTCCTGAGAACCGTAGTCCTTCCTCCTCACCCCTACCCCTGCCCACCCCAATTCCATCCATAGTCTTCACGAATTTACTTGTCTGGCCTTTGAAGATGTTGTAGATTTTGACCCCAGGTATGGAAGAAGACAGCAGTGTCTTGTGGCACTGGGTGTGCTAGCCTTACCTTTTTGCCCTGCCATAGATTTACATTGACCCTTGCACACCCCCAGTTGGGTTGCTTTGCTTTTTGATGTAATACTTGTTATTTATATAATCTCTCCAATATGTTCAAGTCATAGACATCTGTCTAGTATGAGGATTGGTTGGTGTTTTTTGTTTGATGAGGGGGAGGGAATTGGGACAAGAAATAGTCATCTGAAAAGACAGTTTACTTAATGCTGGTAACATAAAGAAAAACTTGTTTCTAATTTTATTCTGTGTAGTAGTCCTAATACTGATTTTACAATCATATGTTCTATCCAGAGGACTTAATCAGATATGTCTTATTACTAAAAACATGCATAGGGAAGTGGTTTAACGATTTTCAAGGGCATCATTCCCTTGGTTCAGTCTGGCTTGGTTGCTGGCCTTGGTTTCAAGCTAGAACCCTTGGCCTTCTTGCCCTTGTTCACAGGAGTTGGACTGCTCTGGGCCTGGAGGTGACAGTAGCCAGATACAGAGCCCTGACACTTAATTTTCCCTGTATATTGTGTTTAAGCTTATTTATAATAAAAAACCACCAAACATTTTTAGGAATTGCTGTATATTTTCTACCCCCATTATTAGTTAGTGGTACTGTGCTACCAGATGCTTCATTTTACAAATTAAGCGTCCACGTATCTAATCTCTTCTCCCTCTCCTACGCAGACCGGGTATTGGTGACAGTCTTCCGACAGAGTGTGGTTCCACCTCCCATGTGCACCTATCGACTGCTGCTCCCACACCCTGTGAATCAAGTCGTGTTCTCTGCACACCCCCAAAAGAGTAATGACCTTGCAGTCCTAGACGCCAGTAACCAGATTTCTGTTTATAAATGTGGTATGTTCAAAAATTGTCACCAGGATGTTCTGAACCAAGTCCCTCCTGCACAAAATCAAATGATAGTGTGGTATTGCCTTAGCTCTACTGTTTCTAAAAATTTTGGAGTTTGTAATTAATATCATTATTATAATGATATATAATTGACTTGTGGGATTTTTTGGGATGGGAGGGAGTCTTATCCCACTGTGGCTCATAAGAGTAATTCCTTTTGCTTGTTAAACCTAAAGTGTCAGTGATTTAAGAATAACACTCACCCTGGAAGTAGCATAGTATCTTTTGTTTTTTTAAAGATTTTATTTATTTTTTGACAGAGAGAGACAGGGGGAGAGGGAGAAGCAGGCTTCCAGCTGAGCCAGGAGCCTGATGTGGGACTCGATCCCAGGACCCTCAGATCATGACCTGAGCTGAAGGCAGATGCTTAACGACTGAGCCAGCCAGGCGCCCAGTAGCATAGTATCTTATTGGGTCTTTAACGTGGTTTACAGTTCTCATTGCCTTTGCATGTATTTCTAGTTGATCTCACAGCTTTCCTAGGAATGGCATCAGAGCTGGTGTTTTTCTGTTCTGTAGATGAGGGAAGAGAATGCCAGGGTGTTTGCAGTTTGCTTAAACAAGAATGGATGAGGATCTCAGCTTAGGTGTTCTAGCTTCTATTCCAGTTGTCCTTCACTGTCCCATTTCTGTCAGTTGCTGGTTGCTTTCCTGATGTCCAGGAGAAGCTGAAATGTGTTTTTATTTGTGAGTTCTATGATCATGTTGTAAATTATACTGGCACATGATACTGGCAGCCTTGTTTTCAAATCATCCTGAATTCTCAGCCTGAAAGGCAGACAGAGATTTAAGAAAGAGGTTGAGATGTGGTTGTTTCTGATTGCTTTATGTCTAAAGTGGATTACCTTCTAGAACCCGTTAAATGCAGAATTCAGTACCCTTAGTATCAGGGAAGATATGTGTAGTTAACTATGATAGTAACTGCATTTTTGTGTTCTAGGTGATAGTCCAAATGTGGACCCTACAGTGAAGCTGGGAGCTGTAGGTGGAAATGGATTTAAAGTTTCTCTTAGAACACCTCATCTGGAAAAGAGATACAAGTAGGTTGTTCTTGATTACCTTGGGCCTCCGGGAACAGCATTGAGGCCTAAATTCAGCCAACTCTTCCTGTTCTGTGCCTGTTGCTGAGTGGGACAAGGAGTAGATGCAATGCCTGGCCCAGGTTTTTCAGGCTGCTGGGGAAATCAGTTACCGGTACATCTGAATGCCATGTACTGGTGAGTGGCCGTGGAGCCAGGCTGGTAGCTGGCTTAGAACCCATTTCCTCCGACAGCCCTTGGTTCTCCAGGAAAGACCACGTGGGAAGGGTGGAGATGAGGACGATAGGACCAAGCTGCGTTTGCTTATGTGCATGAGGGGGTCTGTGTTGTTCACATATGGCTGACTGAATGCGGTCTCTGTCTTTGTCGCATCTCACACTCCACAACTTTAGGTTGCTGCGTTTTGAGTCTCTCAGGTTGGAAATCAGAATGTGTTTTCCCACTGAAAGGATATTATAAACGGTTGGGTATAAATGAGTACCTCAGGTACATGATAAGTATTGTAAAATGACCCTGAAGCTAATTATTAATTCTAATACCATTTCTGTGAGAATCCAAGATTTGATTCTATTCTACTTGATAAGCACATGTTCGTAATTATTGAACTCTGCCTCCTGAGAGCATTTATTTATAAATTAATAGGGACAGTAAACTGACTAAAATAACTGAATTTCATAAGTAATATGTTTCTTAAATATATGCACTATGTTTAATGAATGCGTATAAGTTTTTAACCTGTGTATGATTTGGGGGCTGTCTGTATAATGCTTAGCCATTTTCAAAGAACGTTTATGTGGGTTATTTCATTTCACAGAATTGAACCCACTAGAGGACAGACTTAAGGCAAACTAGGAAGCGTGAAGCAATTTAGTATCTAATTTGATTTTTAAATGAGAGAAATATAGCTCCCAGTCATTTAGGAGATTTCATGAAGGATATGAATACCTATGTTGATCTTTGAAGAAGAGATCAGGTTAGGACTGGCAGAGACGGACTGGGAGTGTTGGCTGTGGTCAACAGAACGTATCAGTGGGAACCCGAGGTGGGAATATCCGCACGTGGGAAGAACGCAGTGGAGGGACTGAGCCCAGGGAGAGCTGGTTGAGTAGGAAGATCAAGGTAGTGACACAGTTTCATTGCATGTGGAGGATTTGCCGTTTAAGCTAAAAGGCAGGAGAAGTAGCCATTATGGGTTCCTGCCTGAGGTGGCAAAAACGTGCTATCCCCTGATGAATTAATGCTACAGGAGGCAGGTGTTAGAGGCCAAAGAAACCGCCTCTGAAGCTAATTAGTCATTTTAATGTGAGATGCTTAAAAATAACCCACTGTGCCAAGACCCACATATCTGCTGGAGCCTGGTTTGAATGCTGATAAGTGGTGACAGTGGAAAACCTCTGGGGTTTGTTACTGTAGGACCTGGGGCAAGTGATTTTCTTGTGTAGTCAGTTTCCTGAAGTGTTCTCTTCAAATCTAAAGATCTCAGAATATAAGAAACCCAAATATTAAATAGAAAAACGTTCTGGCATTACCTCAGGTTTTGTCCCTCCAAATAATTAGGAACTGACTCTATACAAGGTGGTTCATTCTTCATTTAAGAAAATCTCAGTGATATTAGGGCTTTATTCATGTCTTGGATATTCTTCAATATTTAAAACAGAATTCAGTTTGAGAATGGTGAAGGTCAAGAAGTAAACCCACTGAAGCTCAGCCTTCTCACCTGGATTCAAGAAAACGTTTTCCTGGCTGTAAGTCACAGTCAGTCCAGCGCACAGTCTGTCGTTCACCATCTGACTGTGGCCCCTTCTGAGACGGATGACGAGCATGGACAGCTCAATATTAGGTATCGCGACGCTTCCCTGCATTCTGTGTGCTCATAAGCCGATTGAATTACACTTTTGTCTTTTCTGGGTATAGGACTCTTTTGACTTCTACTGAGCAAGGTTGAGGGCAGTAGCTGCTTTGTTAAACACACTTAGCAAGAGCGTTAACTGTAGTTTTGAGTCATGTCAAAATACAAACCTAAAAATGCATCAAGTGGTGGAACATAGGACAAATACTAATAGATGGGGCAAAGCATTTTGAAGATGTGTTACAATTTTTAATTCAGCATATACTTACATTCCAGCAGGGTAATTGTTAGCCCAAGAGAATTAGCCACTGTGGTCACCCCCTTCTTAGTTACTAAAATCAATGATAAGGTCTGTGTACATGCATTTCATTGGATGTGGTGACTTTAAAATGCTGCTTTTGGCTTCTCTATGTTCTGTTTGGCGCTTGACTACATGTACTACTAGAAAGTCGTCTCTGTTTCTCTTTGCTAAAATTTCACTGCTCCCTGGCCCTGAGTTTTGCTTTGATTCCAGACTGCATGTTTGTCACAGGTTTCAGACAATGGATGCTGTTTTCTGTAATGTCTCTAACTCAAGCCCCGTTGTGCAGTAGATGGCATTGCGTGGACAGCTCCGAGAAATCCTCAGACTTCCGATGTCAAGACTTGGCACATTAAACATAAGCTGATATTAATGCTCACACTCATTTGTAGTTAAGGGTTTCCTAGTTAGATTCCAATTCTGAAAACCCTTGCTGCAAAATTAGGACTTTCTCTTCATTGTATACACAAAACATATTCTAGTGTAGTTGTTAACTCCTAATCTTTGCCTCATAGTGCTTCGTGTTTTTACAAAGCTTTTGTGAATATCCAGATGGATACAGGAAATGTTCTAGCTATGTGCAACACTTAATTAACCAGGAGCTTGCTTTTAAAAAGCAGAGCGAATGGAGGGGGCGAGGATGGGTGGAATAGGTGATGGGGGTGAAAGAGTGCACTTGTCATGATGAGCCCCGGCTGATGTCTAGAAGTTCTGAACCACTCTGTTGTACGCCTGAAACTAATACAACACTGACACCACTACAAATTAATTAAAAAAATAATTAAAAGCAGAGCAATTTACATTAGAAATACCTAAATTATACACATTTCTGCTCCGAATTTGAAATTCTTTACCATCAGCTTGCAGGAAAAAAAGCTAGATCATCTCACTTGCTGTAAAGGAAATGAGAAGTCATTTAAAATAACATTTCTGCTTTGACTTTTGTTTCTCAAAAAACTGTTTTGTTCATATAAAATATTAATGTCTTTAGGGAATATAAAGTCCCTCAGTCAGCTTACAGCTTTTAATACCTTACATTTATTATAGCTTAAGTTTTGTAAAAGGTACTCTTTTCAATGCTTTCTCTATGGTAACTCACTTCTTTCTCACGCTACCTCTTTGAAGTACGTATTATTAGCGTTCTTGTGTTAGAGCTGAGACCACTAAGGCACAGAGCGGTTCAGTAACTTGACTGACATCATGCAGGTAGAGCCTCGATCCAGTCCCAGCCAGTCTCTCTCTGGAGTCTGTTCTCTTAACCTATTTGCAGATCATTTATCCTCACAAAATTTGGGGCATTTTGAGTTTTTTGTGTATTGGCTAAAAACTCTTTGATTAAATACTAGCATTGGCAACATTTGCTTTTATTGCTGCGTCTTCCACTTCTTTTAAGACATGTCTACTTTCTTCATTGACACAGGAAGAAATATGACAGTAACAGATTCCCTTCTTCTCAGTTAATGAAGATGCACAGATTTCCATGAATGAATATGATAACAATAAGAGATAACCGAGTATGCTCATTTCCCTACAGACTCACTGCTTTATTTACCGCAGTATATATTTTAAGGAGACAGAAATGATACCATGCATGTCTAATGAAGGCAATAAGTTGTTATAAGTTGTATTAAGTTGCTGCCAGAATGGGAGTGATGACCTCACAGCTTAGATACCTAGCTTATTGGCATTATGGAAAACATTGTCATGTGACAGGTTATTACTTTGGCCTTCTGCTGGAAATATTTATCAGTGTGTGTATGTGTGTGTATGTGTATGCACGTAAGATGTGTATATTGTATTGAAGTAGGCAGTGCAGCCCAAAGGGAAATTGTTTATTTCTTTTCCTGTTTCTGCAAAATCAGTGAAATGCTACTACTTTTGAGAAAAGTGGTTTGTTCACACCCCCATTCCTGCCCTTTTTTTTTTTTTTAATTTCATCAGTTCATCTGTGACAGTGGATGGAGTCATAATCAGTCTGTGTTGCAATTCCAAGACCAAGTCAGTAGCATTGCAGCTGGCTGGTGGCCAGATACTTAAGTACTTTTGGGGTGAGTATCAGAACGTTCGGAAAGCATGTTTATGACTTACATAAGAGTTTAATTCTTGAGGATGTGTACTTACGAGTTTCTTGTCAGTGCTACATTGACAGTTAGGTCTTTTAACTGTCCTGGAAAACCCTAAGCTGTAGAGTAGAATTGGCAGGTGTATTCTGTAATGGACCAGAGTGTTCTAATGAGTTTCCAAAATATATTTGGAAAGTGATCCCAATTGCATGTTAAGTGTCTAAGCAAGTATTGATGTGACAGTGTTTTACAGTGAGCATACCAGCTTTTTGTAAACCTCATCTGCCAATCCTGCAGAGTCACCCTCTCTGGCTGTTGAACCATGGAAGAACCCCAGTGGATTTCCTGTTCGGTTTCCTTATGCATGCACACAGACTGAATTGGCCATGATTGGAGGAGAGGTAAGTGAACAGGAAACTTTACCACTTAGAACAGTAGCCCAGGAATTGCTGGCATTAGGTAAAAGAATATGGGCTTTGGAGGTAGACTTGAGTCTCCACTTAATCTCAGGGCAATAGTGAGAAATTTCTGAGCCTCAGTTCTTCATCTATGAAATGGGATTAAGAGATTGTCCGGCATGTATGTAGTAGTTAGTTGATTCCTTTCCTTGGAGGTATAAATTAAAAGATAGAAAAATGCAGTTGGCAGACTTTTAGTCCATGTTGTACAGATCATCAGAGTTTTATTTAAATACCATTTGGGGACAGCAGAAATATAATCTCAAAAATAGTATTCAGGAGGTTGCCATTCATCAAATATTGGAATGTCTGTAATTGTGGGTGGTAGGATACAGCGGTTTCAGAACAAAAGAGCTGACTAATCCCTGTTCTTAATATAGATATGATGATCCCCTCTGATAGAATGAAGGAAATGAACAGGGTGTGGTGGAAGAGTGTTGAGGTGTTTGGCTACTGAGAGATTGGTAGCTATGAGGATGGGTGTCTGTATTCAGTCTTGACATGGACTTAGATATGAAACCACAGGGCAGTAGAACTATGTGATAGAAAAATTAGGTTTGACCAGTTTGGTTAGAATTGTTTGTAATTTCAGTTTTGTTTCTTTGCAGGAATGTGTCCTTGGTCTGAGCGACAGGTGTCGTTTTTTCATCAATGACACTGAGGTAATAAGGCTTGTTTTGGGCAGGATACTTTTCAGTGTTGCCTCCAAGTAATAAAGCTAACTTTCCCCTTTGCCTTGTTGTAGGTTGCTTCCAATATTACATCATTTGCAGTATATGGTGAATTTTTGTTGTTGACAACCCATTCCCATACCTGCCAGTGTTTTTGCTTGAGAGATGTTTCATTTAACAGTAAGTGTTTGGTATAGTAGAAAATAGTCCCTCTTCTATTATCCTTTGTCCTTTGAAGTCTTGATGACTTTAAAGTTCACCACCTCCTTTGGCTTTTTGTCATAGAGTCCTAGATTATGAGAAAACTTTTAGGGGTGCCTGGGTGGCTCAGTCAGTTAAGTGTCTGCCTTCAGCTCAGGTCGTGATGCCTTCAGCTCAGGTCATGATCCTGGGGTCCTGGGATCAAGCCCCCATCGGGCTCCCTGCTCAGTGGGGAGCCTGCTTCTCCCTCTCCTGCACCCCCTGCTTGGGCTCTCTCTCTCTGTCAAATAAATAAAATCTTTAAAAAAAAAAAAAAAGAAGAAGAAAAGAAATCCTTTAAAGTTCAAGTACTTAGCCCCTAATCACAACACAATATATCAGTTCAATATTCTTCACGAGTTAGCAAAGACTTCCAGAGAAGGTCCTTCCTGGAGCAGAACATTGTGAAATTAAACAGAATTTTTCAGGATTGTATAACAATCCAGTATTTTACCTTGGGTTACCATACAGATACAAACTGGCTCTAACTTCTTTGTAATCTTCCTTTGCTCACTATGACCACACTCCATTGTAGATCTGAAAGACTCTATCTTGTGGTTTATAGGAAACTGTGTCCATTTTTCCTTCAATTAATTTCACGTGTCCCCTCCCCCCACCGTGTGTGTGTGCGCGCGTGTGTGCGTGTGTGTATTTTCCTTATTCTAGAACTCCAGTTACTATCTTTGCTTCTAATGTGGAAACTGGGAATCTTTCACTGATGTGATTATACTGTACTGATAGTGCTAAGAAGTAGAGACACTGCATCCTCCCTGTGTTTTCTGAATCAGTTGAGAAGCTATATATGTGAATATGCATGGGCTCTGTGAGAGAGGGCAAGTTCTAGGGATGAGAAAGACTACTAGTCTTAAGGTTGAGTGGGAGAGCAAAGGGGTGTGGTTGTTAATTGCTTTCTTCTATTTTGTTTTTGTTTTAATTTTTTTTTTTTTTTAAGATTTGATTTATTGGAGAGAGAGAGAGCACAAGTGGAGGGGAGGGGCAAAGGGAGAGGGAGAAGCAGGCTCCCCCCTGAGCAGGGCGCCTCATGCAGGGCTTGATCCCAGGACCTTGGGATCATGACCTGAGCCGAAGGCAGACGCTTAACCAACTGAGCCACCCAGGTGACCCTGCTTTCTTCTATTTTGGATCATATGTTCAGTTTTGACCTCAGTTAATGGAAAGTGTCTTATCATGACAGTGATTCTTACGGCTTAGCCATTGGTGTCTTTAGCATTACATGCAGGTCTGAGCATCAGCCATCTGTCTAAAGGGGAGTCTCTTCGGAAGGTGGAGAGGGGTTCACGTATTGTCACTGTTGTGCCCCAGGACACAAAGCTTATATTACAGGTAAGCTGATTGTTCAGGCTGTGTTTCTGATTGTCGTTAGGCTGTCAATATAAAACAGTTCTTGCAAATTGTATTTTAGGCCTTCTTATCATTTGTAGTAGTTTATTATAAGCCATTCCTTGCTAGGTTCTCCATTAGCTTTATACAAAGGAGTGCTCATACAGGCTGTGCCCAGCAAGGCTGGAAGGGCAGCTTCTCTGGGAAATCAAAGTAAATACTGAGCACAACTAGATTCTGCTGGAAGTGTGCTCATTTTACAGGATCGTGGTAGTTCTCTATGAAGAGTTGAGTTAGGTGAAGTTGTGTATCCTGGGTATTTAAATTTTTTCTATTTACTTAAAAACATTGTTCTGATTTATTTAAGATGCCAAGGGGAAACTTAGAAGTTGTTCATCATCGAGCTCTGGTTTTAGCTCAGATTCGGAAGTGGCTGGACAAGTAAGAACCATGTATATGACTAGTTCGCTTGTTGTTATAACGTATACATGAAGATAGTATTCTATTAAAGTTTTTAAAACTTAGAAGTATGGAAAACCTGTATTACACATGTCTTCAATCAGATTCTCAGAGGCTTTTTTTCCTCCTACACTTTGATTTTAATAATTACCTAGTCTGGTAAATATTCTTAGTAGAAAGAATCATGAAATGCATCATACAAGACAGGGTTTCCTAGCCTGAGGGGATCCATATGGGTTTTAGATGCTCTGTGAACCCAGAGAAATTGCACCAGACTGTGTCTGTGTGCATTTATTCGGGCAGAAGGCCTAAGGCTTTTGGCAGATGTACAGAGGAGCCTGTGACCCAAAAATGCCTGAGCCACTGTTGTGAAGGAAATGGTCCATTGTCAATTTATTTTGGGGAAACTTTGTATTAGAAAGATCTTTATTAGCATTTTGTTAAAGAGAAAGTAGACCTAAGTTCGGTGATGATTTTTGGTCATGTGTATGTGGGGGTATAGTCCTCAGACTGCCGTGGTGACTAAGTTCCGTCTTTTACGAAGGAAAGTGAATCTGGTACCTGATTTTTCATTTTGTGAGTTGAGAGTAGAAATCCAGTAATAGTTGTTTGGCATTTGGACTATAATCTAATTATAACTGGTTTGTATCATAATAATGGTGTTGGATCCAGGGAGTTTAGTTTTTGTAAAATGACCTTTCCATCCATTCTCTCTGCCTCTTCACAGACTGATGTTTAAGGAAGCATTTGAATGCATGAGGAAACTGAGAATTAATCTCAATCTGATTCATGACCACAACCCTAAGGTAACTTTCTAAATCTGATATTAACTCTAGCTTACCTAAGACTTGATCCTATGTGATTGGAACTAAAATTTTTTGTCCTTTTTTTTTTGGGTAGGTGTTTCTTGAAAATGTGGAAACCTTCATAAGACAGATAGATTCTGTAAATCATATTAATTTGTTTTTCACAGAATTGAAGTAAGTATTTTGAATAATTCCTGAGTGTTATATCCATAATTTATCTAGTTTAGGAAATCAAACAGATAAATAGCTAAAGGAGAAAAATTAACTTTGTGTTTGGTATTTTTTTTTATCACTATAATTCTCAGATGCCACCTGTAATAGATTTTTGCCCTTTTCCCTTCTTTTTAAAAACAGCCTATTTAAAACTAAGACTTGAAAACACGTCATTTAGAATTATAATTGACTATTTTTAGGCGTATATATAAGACTATTTGTCTTAGGACATTGAAATCAAATGGTATGTTTTTCTGCAATGACTTTTTTCCAACTTAAGAAAACATTTTAAACATATAAGAAAAGCTGTCCAGTTAGCATCCTGTACCACCATCTAGACTCTCTAGTACATATTTTCCTGTATTTGCTTTGTCACGATGTACCATCTATCCATCCATCATTCATCTTTTTTTTTTAAGATTTTATTTATTCATTAGAGACAGAGATAGAGTATGAGCAAGGGGAGAGGCAGAGGGAGAGGGAGTAGCAGGCTCCCCGCCGAGCCAGGAGCCAGACGTGGGGCTCGATCCCAGGACCCCAGGATCATGACCTGAGCCTAAGGCAGACGCTTAACCATCTGAGCCACCTAGGCGCCCCTTCATTCATCTTTTTTAAGGCAAATTTTAAGTTAATTGTAGCCTTCAGTCCACTTTATATCTCAGTATTTCACTTCGTGGGACACTGACTAGAGTGCATTCTCTGGGGGTCAGATTCATATGTGGTGAAATGCATAAATCATAAATGCACTATTCATTGAGTTCTGACCAATGTGTAACCCAGACCTCTATTGAGATAGAGAACATTTCCTTCACCTCAGAAAGTTCCTCCAAACCTCATGTCAGTCAGTCCTGTCCCCACCCCCTAGGCAACCACTGTTGTGAGTTTTTTACCGTAGATGAGTTTTGCCTGTTGAAGAACTTGAAGTGGAAGCATATAGTATTTACTCTTTTGTGTAAGTTAGGCTGCTCTCACTCAGCATATTACCTTGAGATTCACCCGTGTTTTTGCTGGTATCACTAGTTCCTTCATGTTTACCGCTCAGTAGTGTGCCCTAGTGCAGATAGGCTACAATTTGTTTATTTGTTCCCCTGGAGTTGGACACCTGTCTGTACCCAGTTTGGGGATAATATGAATAAAACATCTATAACATCACTGTACGAGTCTTATATGAAAATATTTTCATTTCTCAGTTTGTTTCTTCATTTTTCACCTTATGTGAATATGATGAAACTGTTTTCCAAAAGCCATTTTTATTCCCTCCTTAGCCTGCCCGGGTCTATGTTCATCATTTGGTAGCTGGGACACGTGTTCAGTTAGTGACCTCTTAATAACTTGTTCTTAGGGAAGAAGATGTTACAAAGACCATGTATCCTCCACCAGTTACCAGCACTGTCCAGCTGTCCAAGGATCCTGATGGGAAAAAAGTAGACATTGTCTGTGATGCTCTGAGAGCAGCCATGGAGAGCATAAACCCTCACAAGTATGTGCGCTGTCATTAGTTGGCATCTTTTGAATCATAGAAGTGTACTCTTGTCCTTACTCAGCTTGTTCATTCTTCTCATTCTGGGGTTCTTCACTTACCACCCCAGGTACTGCCTGTCCATACTCACCTCTCACGTGAAGAAAACAACCCCAGAGCTGGAGATTGTGCTGCAGAAGGTACACGAGCTTCAAGGTAGAGACCCGTTCACAGACAGTGTGTCACCAGCCTTCCACGCTTCTGGGGAGCTCACTGACCACGATCAGTGCCCCATCACACAGTATGGGGCTTTTGGGTTGCCATTTTAAGACCTGTGTCCGTTTTTTTTTGAGCACTGCCCTACAAAACATGTACAGAAGAAGTCCTATGGCATCCAATTCTGTCAAGAAAAGCACTTACTTTATCTTTTTGGTTGTGTTGCTAGGGATGTGGGTTTTTTCCCCAAACGGCTTTGTTGTGTTTTGTTTTCTTAACACTGACAGGCAGTACTCCACCTGTTCCTGATGCTGTGAGTGCTGAAGAGGCCCTGAAGTATCTACTGCTTCTGGTAGATGTTAATGAGTTATATGATCATTCTCTCGGGACCTATGACTTTGATTTGGTCCTCATGGTAGCTGAGAAGTCACAGAAGGTAGGCGCAGTCACTACTTGAACGGCCTTTCGGGTCTTGCTTCTGCGGTCATGGCAGTATGAAACCCTGTCCCCGGCAGCGCTGGGTCTTGCTGACGTGAATATAGCGAGTACAGGCCTGGGGACAGGGCTGGGCGTTTCTGGGACGCCTGTCTCTAAGCCCCATCTCTGTCAGAGTTCAGGGCTGATCAAAGTGTTTTGAATGCCAGGTGGAACAAGTGAAATAAAGTTACTTGGTTATTTGTAAGATTATGGTCATATGTGTGAATGAACTCTTCTCTTGTAAAGGAAATAGAGCAAATGATTCAGATTCCCGTCCAGTTCCTTGTTATGGGGCTGGAAAGTGGGAACAAGGAGAATAGGAAGGTTTGGGGCCTCTCATCCCACCTTAGCATGCTGCAGTTGGAAAGTTTGGGCGCCCCTGGTCTGGTCTAGTTCCTGCAGCCTTAGTTTCATCCTGTCATCCCTCTCCTTGCTCTTGCCAGAGTGATCTTTCCAAAAACAAAATTTTGATCCTTCATTCTTTTACTTGAAATCCTTCATGGGCTCTCCATTGCCCCCAGGATAAAGTTCAGAAGCCATCATATTGCTTAAGCCCCTGCCCCCAGGATCTGGTCTCTGTCTATCTGTCTATCTGTCTGTGCTCGTCTCTTGATACTATTCCTTTTGCTCAGCCTGTAGTGCTTTTGTCCCCCCGCCCCAAGCTGCCACACACCCCCCCTGCAGGTAGCGCTACTTCTGTTTCCCTTCACCACTTTCCACCTCTCCATTCGCCAAGCTAATTCTCACTCGTCTAAGGCAAAGGAGGCCAAAGTAGCCTCTTGCCAGTGCTTCATTCTTGCCTTCCTGCCCACCATGTGGGGACTGGATGAGATGGGCCACATATGTGCTTCCACTGCACCCAGTGCCTACCCCTGCATATCATTCTAGCTCCTCTTCTAGGTGGTAGGTCTCCTAAGGGTAAGGCTTGGTTGTATTTTTTATACATAGCAAATTCTTATTAAATGTTTGTTAATTGAACACTTTGGCCTATGGTTCTCTATATTACATGCCTGAGTATTTAATTATTTTTTCTTTTGGGTTTTCTTTTTTTTCTAGATTGTTCTTATGTGTATTTATCCTGTCTGCTCAGTGAAATTGTATTAAGAACAGGGAGCATCTCTTCTTTGGAAAGGAAACAATTTTCGGGGCATGGCACAGAGCTGCAGACGATCAGTGCTAATAAAATCTTGGTTGGCAGGGCCTTAGAGTTTTGTCTTTAACTCAGTGCAATTTTACCTTTGTTTTAAAACTTGCTGGAGGGTGGGATGCCGGGGTGGCTCAGTCAGTTAAATATCTGACTCTTGATTCCAGCTCAGGTCATTATCTCAGGGTCCTGGGATTGAGCCCCACGTCCAGCTCCGCGCTCAGCCCAGACTCTGCTTGGGATTCTCTCTCTCTCTCTCTCCCTCCCCCTCGCACGTACATGGGTGCATGCACGTTCTCGCTTTCTCTCTAAAGAAATAAATCTTTTGAAAAAAAACTGGCAGAGGGATGGCATGCGATGTCATGCAAACAAATTCAAGCACAGTGCCTTGCACTTCTGGAGAAACTTGGATGCATTTGTTGAGTATCTTCTAGATTGACCTTGTCTTCCTTATTAGCCTCTGAAATAAGTGGCTCTTGTGAGATTGCATAGGAGATAGTCATTATTATTCTCAAAACAACACCTATATGTTAAAGCATTTTCGCCCAACTGGTTATATGGTGTTTCATTTTATGTATTTATACAACATGTATAATATACTAATATAGTACGTATTTTAAACATTATGTAGCTTTGGATTTATTGATTGTTTTAATTGTATTATAAATAAATGTAATCATAAGTAATAAAGATCTCCTATTGGTGTTTTTTTGTTTTGTTTTGTTTTAGGATCCCAAAGAATATCTTCCATTTCTTAATACACTTAAGAAAATGGAAACCAATTATCAGCGGTTCACCATAGACAAATACCTGAAACGATATGAAAAAGCCATTGGCCACCTCAGCAAATGTGGTAAGTGTGAGGATTAGTATGTTTATTTCTGCTTCGGGTCTTCTTTGGAGCTAGGCAGGGTATAAATTAAAGTGTTAGTTTAGATATAGACTGATTTCAGTTTCCACTCCTGAAAATTTTAACAGTTACGTATGTGCACCTTCTTTTATCATATGATCTGAAAAGCTGAAGGCAAAGCAAATGACTTTTAATGAATTGGAGGAGCTCCCTAACTAAAAAAATAGAGCAGATCCTTTTTGGGTTAAGGATAATCACCTCGTAAATTCATTTCAGTATCTCAGAATGAACATTGATAATGCATTCTTCTCCCCTGGTATTTGCCAACACCTGAGGGAACCATAGCTTGTCTGGAGTGAGCGGCCATGCGCACTGGCAGTTCCCAGAAGGACACAGGTGTACATGGTAGCGACGGACTAGGACGAGCACGGTGCACGTTGTTCTGCCGCACCCCGTCCCTGTCCCCCGCTGGAGTTTTGGGCTTCAGCAGGTGCAGTTCTCTACAGAGAGCTAGGATGGGGATATGAAGTTACCTGGGTGTTAGTAAGCTGCTTTGGAGAATCTGATTGAGCTGGGCTGGGCTGGGCCTCTGGCATCTGAATGGGTGATAAGCTCCCCAGCTGATTCTAATGAAGGAGGCTGAGCAAACAGAAGGTTGGAGAGTCATTTATTAGGGGTAGTGTACAAAGCATCCTTTTACATGGAACTCTGATCTCAACCTGTGCTTCTCATACCTCACATCTGCTGGGGTGCTTTGCTAAAATCAGAATTCCTGGATTCTGATACTCCTGATACTCTGATTCTGCAGGTCTTACAAAGGTCCCTTGTTGATTTTGTGTAGGGACCACTGGAATAAATGAAATTCATTACGCTTCCAAAGTCTTAAACGTGTGTGTATGAATCTTATTCCTCAGGACCCGAATACTTCCCAGAATGCTTAAACTTAGTAAAAGATAAAAACTTGTATAAGGAAGCTCTGAAGTTATATCCGTCAGACTCGCAGCAGTACAAGGTGAGTGGTGTGCGAAATGAGGCTCTTCTGACTTTGTGCGTTAGCTGGCAGGGGGAAGGATCCTGAGTCCATAATGCCATTCTTGGCCTCAAGGTTTATCTTCAAATGAAGTCACCTCGTCCTGAGCTCTTACCTGGGAGAATGGCCCTGACCTGCTCTTGTTCTAAAGAAAGTGCCGAGGCTGGAAAGCTAGGAGTTGTCCCCTGTTCCTCATCATGAATACCACGGCAGCTTCTCCCTGGGGTTCCTGGCTTCTGTCCCACCCCTTGCTCCAGCCCAGCCTTGCTGTCGCGTGACTGATCATCCTGAAGCGTGTAGATCTTTCTCATGTAGTCCAGAAGAAAGGGATACAGTTCAGTTGTTTGTTTAAACAGACATCTATTTAGTTCTTCTTATATGCCAGATATTTGCTAAATGTATTCTATGATTCTCATGACAACCTGATTGGATAAACAGATGAGGAAACAGCTTGCCTCAGGAGCTGGAGTGTGAAGCACTGGCCTGGGATGTGGAGCCCAGGCTGTCTGACCCCAGAGCCTGGGCCCGTGACCACTACTCATCCCTGCCACCCTTCCTGCCCCCTGCAGTTCGCCCGCGGCTCTGCTCTGGCCCCCACCTGCTCCCTTAGCATTGGCTGCCTCTTCCAGGCCTCTCCCTGCCCCTACCTTTAGCCCCACTTGTCTTTTAACTCTCAGTCTGCTCTGCTGGAAAGCTGTTCCTGGGCGAGGTGCCACCCTGAGCTCCCAGATCCCCCTTCTCACCTCAGTGACAGCACGTAACCACCTGCCGCCGCACTGATTTGTTTTCCCCGCTGGCCGCGGGCCGCTTAAGGGCAGGGGCTGTCTTGTATTCCGCTCTGTGTCCCTGCCTGACGTTTAGCCTGCGAATAGAGAATTTGGCCAGTGGCTGCCTCTTTGTGCTCGTTTCATGGTCTCTTCCTCTCTTCCCGTGCTCTCTCTCTTCTCCACTCACACCAGCCTTCTTGTTATTTCGTCCTGTGTGTTCCGGACATGTTTCTGCCAGATGGCCACAGTGCTCTCTGTAGCTCTCAGCCTGGATTACTGTCCCGTAACCTTTCACATGGCTGGCTCTCCTCACAGTCCCCTGAAATGGCACTCCCATCACTCTCTGTCCCTTTATCATGACGTCACAGTCCTTCCTGTGTTTGTAAGTCTATTGCCACAAGAGCAGGAACTTGGTGGTGGTTCTTGTTATTGTTTGGGATTTTGCCTGTTTTTATTTTCTGCATTGCTATGTGAGTCCCACTGCCCTTAAGAGTACTCAGTAATGATCATGGCACATCCTCAGTAAGGTTTTGAGTGGAAGAATGATTGAGTTCACTGATTAACCACGGGATATTTCTGAGTAATTCAAGAGACTTTCAAACGTAGTGGCCGAGACAGCCTACACTGGAGGTTAAGAAATAACTGTCGCCTTTCCTCACCAAGCCTCCGTTTCCTCTTGCCACAGGATGTCAGCATTGCTTACGGGGAGCACCTGGCACAGGAGCGCCTCTTCGAGCCGGCCGGGCTTGTGTTGGCCCGCTGTGGCGCCCACGAGAAAGCGCTCGATGCCTTTCTGGCTAGTGGTAGCTGGCGGCAAGCTGTCTGCACAGCAGCCCAGCTGGACCTGACCAAAGACCAGCTGGCTGGCCTCGGCAGAACTCTGGCAGGTGAACGTGGGTGGTGATTTAGGTCCTCTAAAAGGAGAACTCTCCCAAAGGTTTTTTTGTTTCTTCCTTTCTTTGGCAATTTTGCAAGTAAATTTAGGATAGCATACCTTGAGACTGTCTCATGTTCACTAATAAAAATTAATTAGATAATTTAGAATGGTTTATTAAGTAAAGGTTAAACTGCTACAGTGAGAGTCCCCAAATAATGGTGGCATGATAAGAACGCTTGTATCTCTCACGTAAGGACTGAGAAGTCCTTCTGTTGTGTGGCTCTGTCATCCCAGGCAGATGGTTGTAGCTGGATTTTCTCCATACCCATATTCCAGGCCTTAGGAAGGGGAAAAAGCTAGAGCCTTAGGAGAACACTTGAAGTTGGAAACGACCTTGAAGTTACCCTGTTACTTGTGTTCCATCTCATTTGCCAAAACTTACATCCTAGTGCAGAGTAGCTGTGCGGCCATGTGCCCTGTCAGAAGGTAAACATGAGTTTTGGAGTGGGGCCATTCAGGTATAGACAATAGATCATTGGGAACCGTAATAACATTTATGGGAAATGAGGTGAAAGAAAAAGCCAAACATGTAAGCATTCTGAAAGCAAAGGCAGTTCAGCTGTGTCACGGTCTAGGGCTTGTCTGAACCAGAGGCGAGCCTATATCTGAATCTGACTCCTGAGAGGGAGGAGAGCTAAAGGACGGCCTGCCCACTCAGCTGTGCTTGTGTATTCTCCCCTTGCTGTTTTAAGAGTTTTAAAAATATTGTTACGGTTTCAAAGAAAACGCGGTTCTGAAAAAATCCCAAATTAAATCCTGTTAAATGTATGTATGTGTCCTCCTTAGCTATTTGCATTCTTCCTTTTTCTCTGGGTCATAAAAATGTGTGAGGTTGTCACTTTTCTTTTTCTGGCATTTCTGGTTATTAGGTCTGTAGGCTCTTCTACAAGGCCTCTTCATTTCCATGGTGAACTCTTTAGTTTTTGAGAATTCCCTATATTAGGTCTTTTAGTTATTTATTCTGGCTCCATTGTTATTTCTGCTTTAGAAACTTATGTTTTGGTAGCCCATACCTTCCAGCTCTGTTCTTAGGGCCTATTATCTTCTCTTACATTCTTTGTAACTCTTAGCTTGCTGTTTGTCATGCTGTATGGTATACAGCCAGTTCTCCCCAGTGTTTAGCAAAATGGTAGGAAAGGTGGTGGTCAGAGATTGTTGAGAAAAGTTATAAGGCAGAGTCACTTCATGTGCACTTTAACTTAGGCAGTTTATACAAGAAAAGGAAGATAGCTGTTGAAATTATGGAGATGATTATACCTGCTTTTGTCAGGGATCATACGCGCTGGAGTTTGCATGAGATGGGAGACATGAGTCTGCCAGCCCTGTAGTCAACTTCAGGTTCTGTGTGCCTCTCAAAGTATGATTCTCTCAACTGCTGAGTGATTTGAGCATCTAAAGACACTGCATGACCCGTAAGCCAACTACCTTCATCTTCGTGCTCAACCAAAGAACAGCAGTCTCTTCCTATTTGAGGAAGAAATGGATGAGCTGGAGATGTTAGGTCAGTTGCCTATATGTGTGCCTTTGTAAGCTTTTTTTCATGGCTAATTTTGGCTATACATGGATTTCACATTCTATGCTAAATTTAGATTGTAACTGCCATTTGAGATAGGACTCTGGTATTCCTGCCTATTTCCTGACAGAAATTCACAAAGTATATAGTTTTTGATACATAATAAAGATATATCAGTGAGCATTTCAGCAAAGGAATCTGTTGAGGGTTGTTATGCCCAATATTTCACAAACTTACTTGACCCAAGAATGGTTTTTTGGTATTGCCTTTAATTATCCTACAGTCTTAGGGAACACTTTGGAAAATGCTGTTTTAAAGCTGTTCTATTTGAACATACACAGTAGAGCTCAGTCTCCAATTTATAGGGGACAGTTTTTATTTAAAAAGTACCTCCAGGGGTGACTGGGTGGTGTATGGTGTAGTTGGTTGGGTGTCTGACTCTTGGTTTGGGCTTGGGTTGTGGTCTCAGGGTTGTGAGCCAGACCCGCGTGTTAGGCTCTGTGCTCAGCGTGGAGTCGGCTTGAGATTCTCTCCCCCTCCCTTTGCCCCTCCCACTTGTGTGCCCACGTGCATGCTTGCTCTTTCAAATAAATAAATAAATCTTAGAAAAGTAAAGAAAAGTACCTCCAAAAACCATTTCAACTTGAGTTTTGGTGATCCTGTTCTTAGCAAGCCAACTATGGTGAAGTGTTTATTATCTTTGCAGGAAAGCTGGTTGAGCAGAGGAAGCACAGTGATGCAGCCACAATCTTGGAACAGTATGCCCAGGTAACCTCATCTCCCTTCAGCCACTCAGTCAACAAGGAAGGTCTTCCCAGTTGTACCTCACCGATCATGAAAATTAAAGGAACTTAGGGTAATTAGGAAGTCCAGAGATAGTATTTGCTCTGCAGATCTTCCCTCTTGCTGACCTGACTTAGAAATCTAAATTTAACTTACTTCTAAAAAATTAGTTCTCTAAACAATAAGTTCTGTAAGGTAGAACTCTACCACAATAGGCATTAGTGTTTGACCTTGGTAGAAGTAACTAAATCTCAGGGGAGTTGTGCTTTTTATGTTAACTTGCCAAGTAGAAACAGTGAGAAAGGACCATTCTAAAACAAAGGGATTGAACTTCAGATACTTTTCTGGCTTTTACAACCATTCTTATTGTTGGAAGTGTCTTTTATCTCAGGCAGTGTGATGGGTTCCAGTTTTCCAGCAGATTATGAAGATGAGTACCTTTACCAGCTTTTGATATGATTGTAGAATTTGTTATGAAAATAATAAAACTATGCACTGACATGGGGCACCTGGGTGACTCAGTCGGGTGGGTGTCCAACCCTTGATTTTGGCTCAGATCATGATCTCAAGGTAGTGAAATTGAGCCCTGCGTCAGGCTCCGGGCTCAGTGGGGAGTCTGCCTGAGATTCTCTCTCTCCCTCTGCCCCTTCCCCACTCGCTCTCCCTCTAAAATAAATAAATCTTAAAAATTTAAACAAAAAACAAAACAACAACAAAAACTATGCACTGACACTGGCCATGGACTAATAGGACATCATTGACACCAGGGATTACTGCCTTGTAGAGTTTTAGCCTTTGATGAGAGTGTTTTTTACAGTTGTTACTAGTAGGCACATTTGTATAACATAATTGTGCTTTTAAAATACCTGAATGTCTTTCATGTAATAAGGGTGAGTGAAAGAAGATCATTGAAATTGGACAGATCCTAGCAAGAAATTACGTTGGGTGATTGAGCTGAAAACATCAATGAATAAAATATGCATAACAAGGCTAGAGTAGAAAGATACACCATCTAAGATGGTTAATTAAATGGATCAGATGCTACCATCCTTTTTTTCTGTATAAATGAAGATTAATTCATATATATATATTTAATTTATATATTTATAATTTGTATATTTTTAATTGGGTGTACATTACATATAATAAAATCTACCAATTTTAAATTAACAGTTGGATGAGTTTTGACAAATGCTCCTGGCCATGTCACACTCCTACAACCATGGTAATAGAACATTTGTAACACCCCAAAAAGTTTCCTGCTTCCCTTTTGTAGTGAGTCTTCTCCCTCTACTCTCAGCTCTTACGAACCACTGATGTGCTTTTTGTCATTAAGTTTTGCTTTTTCTAGAATTTTATATCAATGAAACCATCTGGTATGTGGTTTTTTAGTCTGGCTTCTTTCACTCACATAATGCTTTTGTTTTCTAACATTTTTTAAATTTTTTCTTAGAATTTTCATCTCTCTGCTTGCATTACCCATCTGTTCCTGCATGTTGTCTACTGTTTCCACTAGAGCATTCAGCACATTAATCATACCTCTTTTTTTTCTTTTTCTAATTGAAATATAATTCACATACAGTGGCATATTAGTTTCAGGTGTAATCATACTAATTTTGAATTCCTGGCCTTGTAATTTCAATACCCCTGCCACATCTAAGTCTCGTTCTGATGCTTGCTCTGGCTCTTCAAACGGTTTTTGTCCTTTGTGCAAATTTTTGTTGGAAGCCTACCATGAAGTTCAGGGTATAAGGAAATTCGATAAAGAGGTCTTTAGTGATGTGGTCATAAGGTGTGGGGAGAGGAGAAGTGTTCTACAGGCCTATGATTAAGTCTCAGTCTTTTAGTGAGCTTGTGTCCCTGGACCTTGAACTTCACCAGTGCGTCTCAGATTTTTCACTCCTTAGGTAGGACAGGAAGGCCAGGGGGAGCTGGAGTTGGGTATTTCTCTTCCCTCACATTAATTAGGCCCTGGTCAAACCAACTTCAGTTAGGCTTTGGCAAAATTGTTTCTCTTGACTGCAGGCCTTGTTAAGAGCAGCATGCTCTGGGTGTTTTCAAAATGACAACTTTTCCCTTCTTGTCGGAAGCAGATTTTCATCTGATACTCACTGTGAGAACCTGGTAGGGCTCAAGGAGGTAAAAACTCACAAAAGTGTAGGAGCTCCCTAAAGTCTGGACGTCTGTAGAGTTTTCAACTGTAACCCTGTCCAGAGTGATCAATCCTTCAGCCACTGGTCACTTACAGTTTAGATTTTCCTACCCCAGTACTGGTTCTGGTAGAGATCTCTACTTGTGGGTCTCTGCTGTGTTCTGGTAAGTTGTAGCTCTCTGTGTCTGCCTGTCTGTCTCTCCAGTCTTGGGGGCAACAGTTTGCCCTATGACCTCAGTTCTCCAGTTCTCCATTGGATCAAAGGAGAGTCTGCTCAGCTTTCTACTTGTTACAATGGAGGGATGTCTTCCAAGTTCCTTGTGTATTGGACTGGAAACTGGAAGTCATATAATGCTTTTGAGATTCATCCATATTATATTGTGTATCTGTGTATTTTTATTTTGCTCAGTGGTATTTTGTTTTATGAATAGGTCATAATTTGCGGATCCATCCACAAGTTGATGTACATTTGGATTGTTTTCAGTTTAAGATTAGAATAAAGCAGCTATAAACTGGTATAATATGTCTTTGTGAGGACAGATCCTTGCATTTCACTTGGATAAATACCTGTGAGTGGGAATGCTGGTCACGTGGTAAGTGGGATGCGTAACTTAATAAGGAGGTGCAGAGCTTCTCTGCAGCGGCTCTATCATTTTGTGTTCCCACCAGTGATGTGTGGGTACCTCCGTTGCTCCTATACTCATGTACACTGGATGAATTACTTATCTACGGATACATAACAAATTACCTCAAAACTTAGCTTCAAATGAAAAACACCTATTTGTTTCTATGGGTCAAGAATCTGGGCAGGGCTTAGTTAGGGCTTCTGGCTCAGGGTCATTCACAGGACTGCAGTCAAGGTGTTGGTCAGAGCTGGGGTCATCTTAAGACTTGACTAGTATTTTTTTTTTTCACTTCCAATTTTTTGTTGCTAGCAAATAGAAATATAGTTTTGTTTTGTTCATATGTTGGCCTTATATCCTGCAACCTTGCTGTGAACTTATTTAGTAGTTCTAGGAGTGTTGGGGGTAAGTTCTCTAGGATTTTCTATATTAATGAGCATGGTTTCTGTGACTAAAGACTGTTTTATATCTTTTCAGTTGGTATGCCTTTATATTTTTTTGTAGTCTTACTGTATTAGCTAGGACTTCCAGTATAATGTTGAACAGAAATGGTAAGGGTTGGTGGACATCCTTGTCTTTTTCCTGATATTAGGGTGGAAATTCACTCTTTCACCATTAAGTGTGATGTTTGCTTTTTTTTTTTTTTTTAAGATTTTATTTATTAGAGAGAGAGTGATCGCAAGAGAGATCACGAGCACGGGGGAGAGGGAGAAGTAGGCTTCTTGCTCAGCTGGGAGCCTGATGTGGGGCTAGGTCCCAGGACCCCGAGATCATGACCTGAGCTAAAGGCAGACGCTTAACTGACTGAGTCACCCAGGTGCCCCATGCTATTGTTTTTTTAATAGATGTGAGAACCTGGTAGGGCCATTAGAGTTGGGAAACTATAGTCAAGGGCCAAATCTGGCTGGCCATCTATATAAAGTTTTATTGGAACATAGCCACACCCATTTGTTTACATATTTTCTGTGGTGGTTTTTGTACCTACAACCCCAGAGTTGAAGAGTTGTGACAGAGATGGTCTGACCACAAAGCCTAAAATATTTGCTATCTAGCCTTTTACAGAAAAAAATTGCCAGTCCTTGCCCTCTTGGTTGAGGAAATTCCTTTCTATTCTTCGTTCTCAGAGTTTTTATCATGAAGAGGTATTGAATTTTGTCAAATGCATTTTCAACTAAGGTATTCTGTTTTAGACCAGTGCTAGGATGAATTAACTGATCTTTGAATGTTAAACCAATCTTACATTCCTTAGGTTAAACCCAGCTTGGTCATAATGTATTATCCTTTTTCATTATTAGTGAATTCAGTTTGCTAAAATTTTCTTGAGCGATACTGGTTTATAGTTTTCTTGTTATATCCAGAATATGTCAAGAAATTTGACAACAACAAAAAGACAAAACAACCCATTTTTAAAATGGCCAAAAGACTTGAATAGCTATTTCTCTCAAGAAAACATACAAATAGGGGCACCTGGGTGGCTCAGTTGGTTAAGCGGTCTGCCTTCAGTTCAGGCCATGATCCCAGGGTCCTGGGATCGAGCCCCACATCGGGGTCCCTGCTCAGTGGGGAGCCTGCTTCTCCCTCTGCCTCTGCCTACCACTCGCCCTGCTTGTGCTGTCTGTTAAATAAATAGATAAAAAATCTTAAAAAAAAAAAAAGAAAACATAAAAATGGCCAACAAGCACATGAAAAGTTATTTAGCTTCATTGTTCATTAAAGAAATGCAAATCAAAACCACAGTACCCACTAGAATAGCTTTAATCAAAAAAAAAAAAAATTGGCAAGGATGTGGAGAAATAAGAACCCTTGTACATTGCTGCTAGGAATGTAAAATGGCACAGCCCCTATGGGAAACAGTTTAATGGGTCCTTAAAAAGTCCAACATACGGGGCGCCGGGATGGCTCAGTCAGTTAAGCGTCTGACTTCAGCTCAGGTCATGATCCCAGGGTCCTGGGATCAAGCCCCACATCGGGCTCCCTGCTGAGCAGGAAGCCTGCTTCTTCTCCCTCTCCCTCTGCCTTTCTCCCTGCTTGTGCTCTCTTTGTCTCAAATGAACAAATAAAATCTTAAAAAAAAAAAATTCAACATAAACATATGACCCAACAGTTCCACTCCTAAGTATCTACTCAGGAGAAATGGAAACATGTCCGCAAAGAAACCTGTATGCAGATGTTTATAACAGCATTATTTATGATAACCAAAAGGAAGAAACAACCCAGATGTCCATCAATGAGAGATGAATGGATAAATCGTCAGTTACACACACACACACACACACACACACAACATTTGTACACATACAGAAGAATATTAGTCATAAAAAGGAATGTAAAACAGATGGATGCTTCAGTTTGAATAAACCTTGAAAACATTATGCTGAGTGAAATAAACCAGATATAAAAGGACTAGTATGGTAGGATTCTACTTATACGAGGTACCTAGAGTGGTTAGAATCATAGAGACAGGAAGTAGAATGGTGGTTGCCAGAGGCTGGAGAGGAACATGGGAAGTTATTGTTTTATGGGTATAGAGTTTCAGTTTTGTAAGGTGGAAAATGTTCTGGAGATGGATGGTAGTGATGGCTTCACAACATTGTGAATTTACTTAATGCCACTGGACTGGACAGTAAAAAAAAAAATGGTTAAAATGGTAAATTTTATGTTATGTGCATTTTGAAATAATTGGAAAAATTAAAAAAATGGAACAAAGAACTGATACATGCTACAACTTGGATAAATCTTGAAGACGTTATGCTTAGTAGAAGAAGCCAGACACAAAAGGTCACCTATTGTATGGTTTCTGTTGCATGATATATCCTGAGTAGGCAGACCCAGAGAAAGGGCATATCAGAGGTCACCAGAAGAGGAAGGGAGTGGAGAAATGGGAGTGTTTTATCAGGTGATTTTAAAAAAGGTGGTCACACAACTTGGTGAACACAGTAAATGCCACAAATTGTACACTTCAGAGTGCTTGTATGTCATGTGATTGTCACCTTGGTAAAACACCCCCCTCCCCTTTCTTTCTCTGCGGGTCAAACAGCACATACCCTGCTATGTACCTTCATGGACCTGTGGTATGGGCCTGTTAGTGGGACATATGCACTGGGGTCTGGGAAGAAAGTGCTTACTTTTATTTAATATTTTTAATTAAAAATAACTTAAAGTAGTATGTATGTATTGTAGATTATTTAAAATGCTGAAAGTAATTAACAAGAAAATAAAGCATGTCATTCCTACACTCGAGTTTGCTAGTATTCCCTTCTATTTCTAATTCTTCCTACGGTGCTCTTTCTCTGTACACACACACACACACACACACACACGTGCATTTTTAACCCAAATGAAATTACACTGTGCTGTTTTTAAATTTGCTTTGTTTATGGTATCTTGTCATGTCAGTACATTTTAATTTATGTAATAATTAAAATTCAAGTTCCCTCCGTGGTTCTAAAATTGTTTATAGTAAGTTGATCCAAAATAGGTTCCAATCTAGGGTCATGTGTTGCATTTTGTATCTTATGTCTCTCAAATCTCTTTTAATCTAATGCATACCTATCCCCCCTTCTTTTTATCACTGTGACTACTGGATGAAACCCAGCCAGTTGTTTTATGTATCTCACCTTTTTTTTTTTTTTTTAAAGATTTTATTTATTTATTTGAGAGAGAGAGAATGAGAGATAGCACGAGAGGGAAGAGGGTCAGAGGGAGAAGCAGACTCCCCGCTGAGCAGGGAGCCCGATGTGGGACTCGATCCCGGGACTCCAGGATCATGAACTGAGCCGAAGGCAGTCGCTTAACCAACTGAGCCACCCAGGCGCCTTCACCTTTTTCTTTTTAAAGATTTATTTATTTATTTGAGAGGGAGAAAGAGAGAGTAGCAAGGAGGTAGAGAGGGAGAGGGAAAGAAAGAGAGAATCTTAAGCAGACTCTGCACTGAGCACAGAGCCTGACATGGGGCTCGATCTCATGACCCTGAGAGCATGACCTGAGCTGAAACAAAACTCAGACGCTTAACTGACTGAACCACCCAGGTGCCCCACAAAACACATTTTAAAATGGTGAAATACAGGGGCGCCTGGCACAGTCGATTAAGTGTCCGACTCTTGGTTTCAGCTCTCTGCCTCCCCTTTAAAAAAAAAATAATATGTGTTTTGTTTCACTTATTTCCAGTTTCACAAACTTCTAGTTATAAAATAAGTCATAGAGATGAAAAGTACAGCTTGGGGAAGTACAGTCAGTAATACTGGAATCATGTTGTGTGATGACAGATTCCCAGGACTGTACTCACCGTGGGGAGCACTGAGTAACGTACAGAGCTGTCCGATCACTGTGTTCCAAGCCTGAAGCTGATAATAACATAGTATGTCAACTGTACTTCAATATTAAGAGGGAAACATGAAATGGACCTATAAAAATGCTTTGTTTTATATGCTTTATGAGTACATTAAGTAATTACATACTGCAGTACATGCTCAAATTTTTACTGGTGAGGCTACAAGTATCAAAAATGCTTGAAGACTTAGGATATGCAGGTGTTTATTACCCTCATCTCTCAGCTTCTTGTAGTTTTGAAGTGTTTCAAAATAAAAGTTGGAGGGGAAAAAAAAACATTAAAGAGCAAAAAGAAGAGTTTAAAAGCCCCTAAACCTGTCAAATCGAACTGGGTGGTGTACCTGAGGCGGTGGGCATTTCCGTCCGACCTCTCTGGGGGTTTCGATGCTCAGGGCCGCAGGGAGATGATGCCATGTGTTCTGTGGTTATTTCCAGAATGTGTACCTTCCCCCCACCACGCCCACTGTGTCTACATCACTGTTTACTGAGCAGGGACTGGGACCGTAAGGGATAGGCGGGCAGAGAGACTGCTCTGAGGCGGCCTTGCAGTCGGTCATGCTGGCATCTGACACGCTTGCTCTGTTTACCTGTTACATTCCTTGATGTTTCCTTGTCAGGATTATGAAGAAGCCGTGCTCTTATTATTAGAAGGAGCTGCCTGGGAAGAAGCTCTGAGACTGGTAGGAGAACTTTTAAAATCCTGCCTGCGTTAGGTGCTCAGCAGAGCGAGAGTGCAGGGGGGACAGGGTCAGCTGGGATCCCTTGTCTTCTAAGGCTAGCGAAACTAAGTCAAAATAGTTTAGGTTCCTGGCCTAAGGATAAGCAGCATTTTTAAAACCATTTAAAAAATTTACTCTTGATGTTTGGAATTAGTCTGTTTTGTAAATGTGAAATATTCCTGGTTTTTACTGAAATGAGTTGAATGTTCATTAGCTTGTAGAGGCCTGCTCCTCTTGAAAATAACCTGGTGACCTCTGAAAGTCATCCATTTACTTCCAAGTGTCTTAACTCTACAGTGACTTGCAGTTTTCTTGCCTAAAATTACTGTCTTTTTCCTTTTAGGTATACAAATATAACAGACCAGATATAATAGAAACCAACATAAAGCCTTCCATTTTAGAAGGTAAGGGTTACATCTCAGAATTCTACATTTGGAAGTGTAGAGGTGGGGAAGCGACAGAGAAGAAGAATACTCCCTGTTATTACATCCTTGAATCATGTGTTACATAGAGTTGATCAGAGTTCTTCACTGAGTGTAATACTTAATTCTGACCAGGATTTTTAAATATGCTAAACTGTCAAATGGTAGTATATAAAATATTTGAATGTTAAAAATACGTGATAAGATAACGGTTAAGAATCTTTATATTTGTAGGGGTGCCTGCCTGGGTGGCTCAGTCGGTTAAGCGTCTGCCTTCGGCTCAGGTCATGATCTCAGGGTCCTGGGATTGAGCCCAGCATTGGGCTCCCAGCTCAGCGGGGAGTCTACTTCTCCCTCTCCTTCTGCTGCTCCCCGTGCTTGTGAGCGCTCTCTGTATGTGTGTGTGTCAAATAAATAAAATCTTTAAAAAAAAAAAAAAAACAAGCTTTGTATTTGGGAGCAGTTGGTAAACTTGAATATGAACTAGCTATTAGATAATACAGTATTTTGTCAGTGGCCAATTTCTTGCATTTAATAGTTGTATTGTGCTTATGTTAGATAATGTCCTATTCTTTTTTTTTTTTTTTTAAAGATTTATTTATTAGAGAGTCGGGAAAGGGGCAGAGGGAGAAAATCTTAAGCAGACTCCTGCTGAGTATGGAGCCTGACACGGAGCTCGATCCCACGACCCATGAGATCATAATAATGTCCTTACTCTTTTTTTTTTTTTAAAGATTTTATTTATTTATTTGACAGAGAGAGACACGGTGAGAGAGGAAACACAAGAGGGGGAGTGGAAGAGGGAGAAGCAAGCTTCCCTCAGAGCAGGGAGCCCGATGGAGGGCTCGATTCCGGGACCCTGGGACCACGACCTGAGCCAAAGGCAGGTGTCCAATGACCGAGCCACCCAGGCGCCCCTAATGTCCTTATTCTTAAGAGAGATGTTCTGAAGTATTTAAGAGGGAAGGATCATATCTGCAACATACTCTCAAAAGGTCCCACAAAATAATAGTTGTGTGTGTGTATGGAGAGAAACAGGAAGCAAAATGTTTACAATTGGTAAATCTAAGTGGAGGGGATATTTATATATTGAACCAGGTGAGTTTTACCAGTTCTGGAACACTTGGGTGGTAACTATGACTCCTTAAAAGCGAAGTGGAAGAGAAGGACATCAGTTTGGCTTACAGAAATTTCTAGCAGTGGGGGGTTGGTTTTAAGCTCTGCCTTTTTTAGCACCGTCCACCCTGTGAGTAGGCTCTGGCCTTTGTGATGTGTACATGTACTCACACGCTTACCCTGCCTGCATCCCCCTCCCCCATCCTCATTAACACCATGGGAGGATTCTTTTCATATCATTCACCTAGCTACCCTTACCTGGTTACTAAAAGCATCCATCCTGACCCTCTAGGCGTCCATCTAGCCATCTTTTGCTTGGATTTTCTCCCCTAATGAGCACCTAGAAAAATGCTGACTGTTCATCTGCATAGGCCTAATACCCATGTTTCAGAAGCATCTCAGTGACTGTCCTGTTTTTGTTAACAGCTTCCTTGTATACTCCTTTTCTTTGCTGGTCCGCTCTTGGGTATCTAGTCTTTGTTCAGGTGATTTTACTAATTTAGTGCTAGAGAGTGTTCTAGGATGATATTAATGAACTCTGAAATCTGAAATTTCAACGTGTAGTTCATTCTCCTAAAACAATGTAGGTTAATTCTCATTAAGGAAAAAAATCTTGCTTGGAAAACCTAGTAACCTGTTTCTTTTTGTTAAATTCTTACTCCCTTACTGCCTTTATCGAGTTTTTCTCTTTACTTAAACATTTTGCTCAAATTATTTTCCATCTGCACCCCTAGCCCAGAAGAATTATATGGCACTTCTGGACTCTCAGACAGCCACATTCAGTCGCCATAAAAAGCGTTTATTGGTGGTTCGAGAGCTCAAGGAGCAGGCACAGCAGGTGAATCTGGGTGAGTGTCTGCATGAAGACATGGACGCTTGGGCACGGTGGGGACACATTACACTTTGTCTTAGCTGCTTATTGTGCCTCCTGCACTGTGATTACCATGCTGGGGGACGTCTAAGGCTTCTGTGAAACCCCTTACGGGTTGTGTATGTCTGTTTGTGCGTGTTGGGGAGGGCCGGGGGCAGGACCAAGCATGAATGGGAAGAGCTCTGCCACACATTCCCTGCACCCCCACCAAGCAGAGCAAAATGAGCCTCCTTGCCTGCAAAGGTTCCTTTGCTTTCAGAAAGGAGAGAAAAGAAAAAATAAGCTTGGTACTGGTGCGCTGGTGTATGGTAGGAATAACTGTATTTGATATTATCTCATTTCACTTTGAGATCTACTTTATAATAATTTTCATTCATCGTCAGATATACCCTGGTTAACTCTAGTCCACTTACCCTACCGAAGGTAAATCTACATCAGCAGGGAGTTTTCATTCTGTGTCTGGTTCTTCTTTTCTAGATGATGAGGTGCCCCAGGGTCAAGAATCAGACCTCTTCTCTGAAACTAGCAGTGTCATGAGTGACAAATACTCCCATAGCAACTCCAGGATATCAGCGTATGTATCATGTTTATTCAGCACATTGGCCAGGCCCTGGGCATATGGAGAAAGTGCATGTAAGGGGGTCCGTTTCTCATCAGGACAGTGCAGGGGAGAGAGAGGACAGAGCTCAAGGCCAGGATTTGGTGTGCAAGGGGTTTCCCCACATATCTAAGAAATTAGACTTGGTGTTGAAATGTTTGTCTGCTGCAGCCTCGTGGACTGTGTGTTTGTCCGTGCCCACGAGGCCCTTACACCGGTACTCAATTTTTGTGACATCTAATTTTATTCATTTAACAAATATTAGGTGACTGGATTGTGTGGGGGCTGAAAAAAATAAAGATTATAAAGAAAAAAGGTATCAGGCATCTTCAGTTCAAAGTCAGGATTAGAAGAGGCTATTAATGTAAAACAAGTCATCATGCTTATGCAGTGTGGCATTTGGTCACAACACCCATATGCTAGTTGTAGTGGATGTTACCAGAAACTTTTAAGGAGATGTGAGTTATAAGAGCCTATAGTCATCCTTGGGAAGCATAAAACAATGCTAGATTGTGTATTTAAACTGAATCATGATAGGACGCCTGGGTGGCTCAGTCGGTTAAGAGTCTGCCTTCAGCTTGGGTCATGATCCCTGAGTCCTGGGTTCAAGGCCTGCATCGGGCTCCCTGCTCAGCAGGGGGCCTGCTTCTCCCTCTCCCACTGCCTGCCGTTCCCCCTACTTGTGTGTGTCTGTGCACGCTCTCTCTCTCTGAAAAATAAAATCTTAAAAAGATAACTGAATCATGCTTTAGGAATTCAGAATAGAGATTTCTGAGGTTATATGGGGTGATCAGAAACTGCAAGAGAGGCAGCTAGAAACTGGGCTTTTCACAGGGCAGGAGAGTCCCAGACAAGATAGGTGGCGTAATTAAAGACCTTTGAGCAGGAAAGATACAGGATTCATATATATTTTGTTACATCCAAATTTCTGTGCTACGTCTGTGTCTCCTTATTTAAAATTTACTTTAAACTTGTTTTTCATTACAAAATGTAAGTTGGTTGTTCTGTTGTTCTAGCTGTCATTATCAGATATAACCTCATTTTACTCTGTATTTTAATTAAAATTTCAAGGCCAGCTACTACTTTTTTTTTTTAAGATTTATTTATTTATTTTGAGAGAGTGAGAAAGAGAGAGCACATGAGAGGGAAGAGGGTCAGAGGGAGAAGCAGGCTCCTCGCTGAGCAGGGAGCCCTATGTGGGACTCGATCCCGGGACTCCAGGATCATGACCTGAGCTGAAGGCAGTCACTTAACCAACTGAGCCACCCAGGCGCCCGCAGCTACTACTTTTTAGTGTTTTCCTTATTATTTCCTGCCTGTAACACTCACCTTTCCCAGTTTATTTTAGCTATCACTCCCAACACCTCATTACCATTTTCCCCCACATATACATACCATTTGTAGACTCTCTGGGTTCCCAGAAAGTTTGTGGCCAACAGGTGCATTCATTTTAATCTGTTCAGTGCAAAGAGATCCCCTTTTATAACATCTTTCCAATGTCTTCTACCAGGCGATCATCTAAGAATCGCCGCAAAGCAGAGCGGAAGAAGCATAGCCTCAAAGAAGGGAGTCCACTGGAGGATCTGGCCCTTTTGGAGGCGCTCAGTGAAGTTGTACAGAGCACTGAAAAATTGAAAGGTATATTCTCAATACTGATGATTCTTGCCACAAAAAAAAAAGTAAATGGATAGCACAGAGTTTAGGAAATAATTAAGATACAGTTTTCCCAACTTGAGGAAAGACAGAAACTTTCAGCAGGAAGTGTCATTTCAGAGCACGTTCCTGAACCACCCTCAGCTGGGAACCTAGGAGCCTTCCTGCACTGACCCCCACCCAGCCCTGCTGGGAGACATTAGCACTAAAGCCAGGGAAAAGGATTATGAAGACACTGCTTCCTACTTGGGCCCCAGTGTGTTCCTTTTTCTTTTTGTAGTAGGTTGAATTACTCCAGCATTTGGGGAGACAGAAGAAAATGCGGGACATGGCAACTGTAGGGTGATATTAAGTATTTTTTTGCTTGGGAAAGAAACTGTGTTATAATCCTAGCAATGGAGCTGGGGACCCAAGTTAACCACTTTCTCAAATTTCTTCTCTCTAGATGAAATATACCATATTTTAAAGGTGCTCTTTCTCTTTGAGTTTGATGAGCAAGGAAGGGAATTACAGAAGGCCTTTGAAGATACCCTCCAGCTGATGGAAAGGTCACTTCCAGAAATTTGGACTCTCACTCACCAGCAGAATTCAGCTACACCTGTAAGTTTTCCTCAGAGACAGAATGTACGTTTTTTAAAAGTCATTTCACAGGTTCTTACGTTCACACGATCTCTTAAAAGTCAAAGCAAAAGATTTTCTTTTTCTTAAAAACATAATATTCCATAGTTACGTTAGCCTAGGCTTATGTTTAAGCTGTCTGTAAGAAGATTTTCTATTTGAGTACACCTTGGACTGGGTTGTTTGTTTTTATTTCTCCTTTCTGCATGAAACAGCTGTCGTGAAGAAGATGGGCAAGTCAGACTGTTGCCCCTGCCTTCAGTGAGGTTGGAGTGGGCAAGGGGGGAGCTAGGGCCCGAGTTGGCCTCTCACCTCCCTGTTCAGACTTTGAATGGTATCAGAGTGTTTTAAAGTAACCCAAACAGGAGCCCCTGGGTTGTCAGTCGGTTAAGCATCTGACTCTTGATTTTGGCTCAGGTCATGATCTTAGAGTCCTGGCATGGAGCCCTACATCGGGCTCTGCACTCAGCACAGAGTCTGCTTGAGATTCTCTGTCTCCCTCTCCCTCTCCCCCTCCCTCCGCTTGCATTCTCTCTCTCTCTCTCTAAAATAAAATCTTTAACAACAACAAAAAAAGTAACCCTTGTAGACAATTGCTTTCTCTTTTGTTTTATGGAAAATTTGACTTGTCACTTCTACTCTGTTGTCACGAGGAGCTTTGCTGCTCATGTTTAAGGCAGTTGTGTCCTGTCAGGAATTCTGATGTGTTATCTATTGTGTGTACTTTGCTCAGTCTCTCACACCTGAGGCCGATTGTTAAGAGTTTCTGTTTTGATTCAGAAAGGCTGGTGTGTCAGGGACAGTCCATTAAGGAAAACAACCACAGCTGTTATTGTAACAGAGAAAATTTAATACAGAGAACTGGTTGAACAAGTATTGGAGAACTGAAAGGCAAAGGGGGAACGCAGAGAAGGAATGCTGAAATAGTAACTATGAGGGAACAAAGGAAGGGTTTGGGTTTACTATGGTTTAGAAGCTTGGAGGTGGGGCCCTGCTGAGCTGGTTCTTGACCCTCTGAGAAGGGGTGCCAGCCAGCGGGTGGTGGGACTTCTGAGGGGGCATGATAGCTCTAAGGGTAGAGAAATAAGTAAACTGGAATGAACGGCTGCTACCAGGGTAAAGAACTGTTGAGTGAAAGCAAGGAGCACATTCCTTTTTGTCCAGCCTTGCACTCTCCCTCTGATGTCCGCATAACAAGCCAGCTGACAAAGGTGGGATTTTTCTCAGGCTCCCAGTCCCAGCATCACAAGCACTGTAGAGAAGGGTGGGTTTGGAGCATGGGGAGAGACTGGTATTGGGCTCACTAGGTAGAAACACAGCAGCTCTACTGGGGCCTCGATTTCCTCACTTACAAATGGAGATATACTTCCTATACACTTCACTGGAATGTTCTGAGGGTTAGATAAGAGGGTAGATGTAGGTACATATAGCATACCTTAAAAATAGAAGTTGAGAATCAGCACCGCACAAATATTTGAATTTACGAAAATAGGTATTTCCTAGAAGAAATGTGATCATCTTCAAAACTGTAGTGGTTTTGAAGCTTAGCAATTTATAATACCTCCTCATGCTCTCCCCTACCCTCTTCTATTCAGATCATAGTAATTTTTTTTAAATTTTTTATACATTTTTTAATTTTTAATTTTTTTGATTTAAATTTTGCTTAATCTACAGTGCAGTACTGGTTTCTGGGGGTAGAACTTAGTGATTCGTCACTTACATAATTTACCCAGTGCTCATAACAACAAGTTTCCTCTTTAATCCCCATCCCCCCCCAGCCCATCCCCCACCCACCTCCCTCCATCAACCCTGTTTGTTCTGTATCATAAGAGTCTCTTATGGCTTGTTTTCCCTCTCCTTTTTTTCTTTTCCACCTTCCCATATGTTTATCCGTTAGAGTGAGATTGTACGGTATTTGTCTTTCTCTGACTTATTTCCCTTAGTGTAATACACTTTAGCTCTACCCATGTTATTGCAGATGGCAAGATTTCATTCTTTTTGATGGCTGAAGATCATATTAATTTCTGAGACACCAACTTTAAGAGTCTTCTGGGGAAAATGACCAGAAAATCATGTGTTTGCTTTGGTTGGTAAATTATGGTAATGGCACGTGTGCGGGATCCCGAGTCATATGGAAGTGCTTTGAGCGCACATTGCTGCTGAGAAGGTGCCCCCGAGGGTATGCATGCTGAGCCAAGTGAAGACAAAGCAGAGGGCCTGGCATGTGCCCCCTGAGGCTTATACAAATGTGGAATTCCTGTGAAGGCTCTGGTTTTACCTTGAACACATGTGCACAGTTTGCCTTCTACTCCATGATATATGCACGTATTTGTTTTAATATCAAAATTCCCACAGATCTTTTGAGGGCAAATTGATGCTCTGTGTATTCTATAACCTCTTGTACTCCTCCCCTCAGGGTATGGCTTATATTCCTTAAGATTTTCCTTTTTTGTTTTCCCCTCATCATTACCTTGTCTTCTGGAAGAAAGGAGATTTGGAGGTCTGAGTCAAGACTGGAAAAACTGGCAAAGTAAAAATCACAAAGGAAAAGAGAATTACTGTGCTTGATACCGTGAAAATGACATGCTCTTTACTGCTGGTAGAAACTTGGCCTTTGGTATCTGTGGTCACCAGAAATATAATATTGCTGATCTACTTTCTACTTAGGTTCTAGGTCCCAATTCGACTGCAAATAGTATCATGGCCTCTTATCAACACCAGAAGACTTCAGTTCCTGTTCTTGGTTAGTATGTTTTTCTCTTCAAATTATCACAGTACTCAGCAGAAGGAATATCTTTCTCTTAAGTGTTGAGAAGGTCAGTGGTGTGAGGAAAGATCGGTTATTGACTACAGTTTTCCCTCAATTTTATGACTGTGTCTTTAATAAAATCGATTTAGTGTTTCTAGTGTTGGGAACCAGAGGGGTGGGGAATCCAACATGATATTAGACATATACATTTTGAAAAGGTCATCCTGACATACACTGTCCATACAGGCACATCACAGTTGAAATTTGAGTCTAAACAGTCCAACTTACATATATATTTTCAGGATTCTTCTGAATCATCATTTTTGGCTCTTGGCAGTTATGATTGCATCTTGGGGACGTTTTCATAATCATCCTCAGGATTGACAATACAATTTGAAAGCAAATCCAAAGAATGTTAGCATTTTATTTGCATTTCTTATTTAAGTTTACCGAAAATGTTTTGTTTTATTTTTTGTTTGTTGGCAGGGGAGATGATTCCTGATTATATTGCATAGCCCTTGAAGTTCAAAACCCTAAAAACTTTCTTTTTAAATTTGGTTAGAAACTTTTGATAGATCAGTTTGGTGCCTGAGTATTTACCCTTTAGGTGGATCAATCAAGCATAGCAGCCTCTTAGCTTTCAAAAGTTAGTGGTATGTTCTAAAATAATTGGGAGTTTTTACTACTGTAATTTGCATTTTCCAGAATTTTTTTCCTTTAAATGTTGTGCTATACTAGCATTCTGATGATATTTGAAGTAGCCTTTGGGTTTACATTAAGTTTGAAGTTTAACAGCTTATGTTGCTACCAGGAATAAATGAACTACTTTCCATCCAGCTTAGCTCTTGTATCTGGACAGTAACTATTGTATTCCTAGCTACCCTTCTTCCTGAAGGCTGGGACAAGCTGCTTTTGCTATCAGTCCCAACATATACTTATTTCTGAGATGCTAAAAATTCATCTTAGACCTGAGGCAGCTTGGTCATTGCTCAGTTTGTACCCTGGGCAATTCTGTTCTGATTTCCGTCTCATTTTCTGCCCTATTGGCCTGATGCTGACCTTCATGTCAAGTCTGGTCACACCTTTCCCTAGAGTATCCTGGTGGCTTTATCAAAGAGTACTTTCATTTTCCAGCTAAGCCTTAAAGACACTATTTTGAGGCTCCTCATTATCTGAGTACATAAGTGTTATCAGTGTCCTTGTGGTTACAATATGGCGTAGGAAAAGAGAGGTTCTCATAATCTAAAAATAGGCAGATGAACTACTGACAAAGTCCCAAGCACTGTTCCTCAACTGCTCCTCCCCAAGTAAGGGGAGTAGTTAAGCATACTCACACAGCCCTGCGAGTGGAATCCATGACTTGATTGATAGCCATTCTCTCTGTTTCATGTTTGCAATGCAGTATCATGCAGATCAGTTGTAAGTCTTGCAAAAATGTAGGGTTTCATAAAATGGATTAAAGTATTATCAGAGAAGTGCTTGAATCATCATAGCTGAGTTGGGCTCGTTACAACAGATAACAAAGTAAATGCTTCAAATGGGAATGATTTTGGCTATCAAAAGATTAAGAAAAGTCCTTGGAAAAATGGATAAGACCTTCGAAGTATTTTTGCAAAAATAACTCTTATGCTGTGAAATTCAGACATGGAAAGGTGAAGAATGTCATGCCTTGTCATATGGTTTGTCAGCACAGTTACTTTCCTGCTAAAAGGCTCATATATATATATATATATATATGGATCATATATATAAATATATTTCTGTTGGAAGTGTATTACAAATAATGCTGAAAAAAAAACCAAATAATGCTGAGAAAGAACATCTTTATATACACGTATTTTCTCGTATCTTTGCTACCTATACACATCTCTGCTACCACAAATCTGATTGAAAGAGGGCTCAGGTGGAGCTGTGTCTCTTCATCTCCGGGTTGAGGGTTTGAGCCCCATGTTGGAAGAAGAGATTGTTTAAAAACAAAATCTTTTAAAAAAAGAAAAGTAAAGAAAGAGGGTCTGGGAGTTTTATTTAATAGTGACAGTTTTACCCCATCCATCCTCTCCTCCATTTGCTTTTTTCTGAAAGTAGGGACATTTTTATTGATCAGTGTTTTTGTAGAATTTTTTTTTATCATGAAAGTATTTTCTGTTCATTAACTCTTTTTACCAAATAACATGCCACCACATTTTTTTCTCTTATAATTGAGGAAAATTTTGTAGATAATGAAATGTACAGATCTTAGGTGTACAGTTTGATGAGGTTTAATAATTACAATTACATATGGCCTTGTAACCACCACATGCCCTCCCATCGAAATCTAGAACATTCTTCTACTTTGAATCACTCAGTGGGCATTTTTTTCTTCTACCCTTCATGTGCCTGAAGTGGAAATCCCTGTTCTTGGGGCAGGGCCTCCAGGCTGTGTTTGCTCTGACTGGAGGTTGCGAGGGTAACAGGAACTTTAGCTCTCGACTGATGGTTATCTTGTAGCTCCAAAGTCCAGTCCCTAGTTTTAGCGCAGTTACTGCCTCAGCTTCCCCTAGCAAGAAAGTGTGTCTGTCACAGTTTTCCTTTCCTTTCTTCTAGATGCTGAGCTTTTTATACCCCCAAAGATCAACAAAAAGACCCAGTGGAAACTGAGCCTTCTAGAGTGACTGACGGTTTTCCTTTCACTCCCTCCTTGGGGCCTGGCTGTCGGGAACTGGGAAGAGTAAGACAACTACCTTAGCAGTATGGAGAGCTGCTCTATACACCAGACCTAAGCAGACACCAAGCAGTTCTGGTTTATTTGGGGTATAATTTTAAATAGCAAAAGGTTAAGCTTTAACCAATATTGCATCATTTTGTAAGAATTACTGTTCTTTTGTTTAGTGCTGTTTGAGAGCATATTTCTGGCATTTATAGTAGTCAGAAGATTGGCTTTCATTCCTGGCTGCCAGTCTGATTCATTTTGGGACCTTCGACAAGTCACATAATTAATCGATTTGTGCCTCAGTTAATTGGGAATAATGTTTCATGGCTTCTACCTCAAAAGTGTGAGGAAAAGAAAATAATGTTTTTTAAATATTTTATGTTCCGGGAGGAGAACATTGTGTATAAACAACGTTGGCTATTCGTGCTACCAACAATTGGTGAAATTTAATCACTTAAATGACTTCTTCGCCTTGAACTAAAGCAGAATAAAAAGCTAAATATATCCTTTGAAATTTTAAACTTTCCTTTGCTGACAGCTGTTATTTTATAATATCTTACCAGGTCCTCTGCTTCCAGTTATAACGGCATTGAGCTCCTATCACTACAGTGTCCATAGGGACTATTTTTACTGCCTGTGAATTTTCTGCTAGGGACTTAGCAGTGTTAGAGCTGGAACAGATTAGAATTTCTGAAACAGTATTGTGCACATTTGGTATGGTGAACAGTGTGGACAATTGTAAGTTATTCCTTTTTTCTCTAAGTAATTGCTGCTTTTAACTAAAAGCTTTTTGTCAGTGTCAAGGCCATTTCATTTATTTTTCTTTATGGTGCTTCACTGACCTCTGTCTTTTAGTTATTTTTCTTTGGAAAAAATGAGAATGTTTTTTCTTTTTGGTGAGTCTAGAAGAAGCTCAGTTCATTTTGACAACAGTTATGTGGCTGATTCTTGGGTAAGGTTAAAAATTTCTTCCATGCCTCTAATACCATAACCAGACGTTCATGACTGTACATAAACGAAAATATTGCCTCTGATCCATGGAGTATAGATATGCCCAGAATTGTAATTAAATTTGTTCCATAAATAGCAAAATGTTAACTATAGAATCTAGGTGTGTTTGCTTGTATAATTAAGCTTCTCTGCGTGTCTGAAAATTTTTACAAAATAATAGGGGGAAAAAAAAAGGTATTTCCTGCCTTGTAGAAATCTACTTTTTGATTTATACCCGTAATAGATTTGCTATAATTAAGTGCCCCACACTGAAAGGCTGAACGTGCTTTGTAACTTCACTCTTTGACCTGGGTAAATGAACATAAGGCATTTTAATATATTATAGTGCTCTTGCTATGGATAATGGTACCCATGCCTGATGGATTGGAAATAGAAGTAAATGTGTCTGTTGATGCTCGTATGACTTTTTATAGATGTTCCATTTCCTTGAGATGGTGTTTTGAAGCAGCAAGAAAGAATTTGTGTGAATACAAATTACTATCAGTTACTATCTATTTCCTGTGAGCAAGATGGAATTTTGTTCATTTGGAAAAGCAGCAGGCTGGAGCAGACCTTCCAGGCTGAAGGCAAAGTCACAGAAGAATTCATGGGGGAAGTGCAGTGTATGGGAAGAGGAGAAACTTCTGGAAGTGATGAATACTTAATTTTGGCAAAAGGCTTGGTCAGGGTCCTGGGAAAGAATATATAACTCTTCCACCAGATTTGAACTCTGTCCTAAAGCAAGTTCATACTGCAGTAAGCTAAAAACCCCAGTTATTTTGTTGGTGCCATTGAGTCAGCTTTGCTCAGATGCTCCAGACATCAAGAGGGAACTTGCAGAGGACTGTCTCCTACAATCCATTTTAAATTTACACTTTTTAAAAAAACAGAGGCAGGAGGTAATGTTTTTATGAGTGTAGCTTGATGTAATTTTTTAGCAACTGCCACATATTTTAAAATAAATTCATTTTCCATACATGTCTACATATATATACACACACACGTTTACCTTTTAGGGGTTGTTCATAGCCATAATTGAAGAAGGTGTTTTCAAAAGTAAATAAAACTAATGATTCTTAGTAATTTAAGGTTACTACAAGTTGGGGAAACAAAATCAGCTTTTTTTCTGCTTCCTGTGCCTCCCCATAAACTTGTGCTTTTCTAGAAGCACCACCTGAGCAAGCCCTTAAGAGTTTCTGGCTGTCCTTTCTTGTCTGTTGTATTTATTAGTAACTGAGGTGAGGAGAATAAACATCTAAGAAGCTAGGTAACAGTTAATATCCAAGAAGCTATAGACAAGTCAAAGCTAATATGGTGACATTTGGGGACACTGAATTGATTCTTGTGTTCTCTGTGCTCCCTAAGCCCTTGCCTGTGCCTCACGCCCACATTAATCTTACTGGCTCTGAAGTCCCAAGGGTTTTAAGACCAGCAGAGATTTTCTTGATATACAGGAAAGAACAAGGCCGTGGGTCAACCCATCTTAGGGTCCTTGGACAGAGACCTTTTTTTTTAAGATTTTATTTATTTATTTGAGAGAGAGAGAGAATGAGAGAGAGCACATGAGAGGGGTTAGGGTCAGAGGGAGAGGCAAACTCCCTGCTGAGCAGGGAGCCCGATGCGGGACTCGATCCAGGGACTCCAGGATGATGACGTGAGCCGAAGGCATCCGCTTAACCCACTGAGCCACCCAGGCGCCCCTGGACACATTTAATCTCACTGAATCTTGCTTTTCTCCAGCCTTGTGTACCCGTTAGCACCATTGTGTACCTTAGCGCTATTGACATTTTGGGTCATATCATTCTTTGTTGTAGAGAGCTACCCCGTGTATTATAGGATGTTTAGCAATATCTCTGGCCTCTACCCACCAGATGCCAGCACTCTATATCCCCCACTCCTGTTCTGATAACCAAAAACATTTTTAGACATTGTCAAGTGTCTCGGAGGGGGGGTCAAAATTGCCCCCTAGGCTAGGATGACTTTCATGCACTCACTAAAACTATTCATCTCTTTCTTTCTCTCTTTCGTGAAGTTGACTTTTTTTCCTACAAGGGGAATTGTGTAAGGATCAAGTGAGAATTCATGGAAGTGTTTTTTTTTTTTTAAGATTTATTTTAGAGTGCACAGGGAGAGGGAGAGGGAGAGAGAAAATCCAGCAGACTTCACGCCAAGTGTGGAGCCCAAAGTGGGGCCCAGTCTTACAAACCTAAGGTCATGATCTGAGCAAGAGTCAGACACCTAACTGACTGTGCCACCCAGGTGCTCCCATAAAAGTGTTTTGAAAAAGATACATAGTTGTCCAGCTTTATATTGTTTTTTTTTCCTTTTCTTTTCTTCCTTTTTTTTTTTTTTTTTTTTTTTCATTTTAAAGTGCAGCAGAACATTTAGACCTACTGTGGCCTGGAGATTTCCCTCCAGAGCCACCTCCCAGGCTTCCCCTTCATCAAGACTCACCTTTTTTGGGGGATTCTTGAGTTGGGGTTCATAGATACTTAAGGGATTTAAAGACAGTCTGTTTCTATATGATTGGTTTTCTCTGTAATTCCATGTATTTTATTTTATGCATTTTAACATACTGTTCTGAGGAGGGGTCCAAAGGCTTTAGCACCCTGCCAGTGAGATCCAAAGTTTAGGAATTAATCAAATTTTAACCTGCCCAACAGTGAGTGTTCATGGACTGTTGGACAGAAGAATAAGACCTTATACCTCCCCCTCAAGTCAATGTACCCAACCGCTAGGTGATCCTCTGATACCTCAGGGTAAGGTTTAGTCATCCTTGCTTAACTATAGGAACTTCAGAAGCCCTTCTGTGTGGGTCTGTACTTCTCTATTCCGGCTTGCTGGTGCCAGTCAGCCATGCTTACCAGGCCTGGATCCAGGGTTGGGCATTTAGGTCTTTCGAGGCAGTTTAGGCAAACCCGGATACTATGAAGATGGCTCTGTAGGGCTTCTCCTGGGGATGGTAGAGATGCTATTACCTCTCCTGTGAGTGCTTGAATGCCTGCCTTTAGGTGTACATGTGACTAAGAACCATGGTGAGGGACGCCTGGGTGGCATAGTCAGTTAAGCATCCCACTCTTGGTTTCGGCTCAGGTTGTGATCTCAGGGTTGTGAGATCGAGCCCTGCTTGAGACTCTCCCCCCGCCGCCACCTCTCCCCGCCTCCTATGCTCTCTCTTTCTCTAAAATAAATGTTAAAAAAAAAAAAAAAAAGCCATGGTAAGACTTTGGGGCTCCTGTATAAAATAAGTCTACAAGATAATTCTAGTTAGCTCTTGTGATCACCTCCCAGAGGTGAGATACTAGTATTTCAGTGTTTATGTCTGTTTTTTACCTCAGCTATGTGAAGTAGGCCTTTGAATTCAATTTTATAGGTAAGTAGACTCAGGCCGTACAGTTAGGTGGTAGTGAAATAGGGTTTCAAATCAGAGTTCAAAGCCCATTTCTTTCCACTGTTTGATGCTGCTCCCTGCCAATGTTCAGATGTCGAGGTTTAGAGAGAGGGCAGAGAATGTATTGGGGACTAAAAAAATCTGTGTTCCATTTACAGAACTGGCCCTTGTAAGACTACCTACAGAATATGCTGTGCCCTGGAAGGGCTTCTCTGATCTTGAGGGACTGAATGTTCCTTCTGGCTCCTCAGTTGGGTTAGAATGACCAGTGTAGGGTAGGTTCCCGCAAACCATTAGCCCCAGAACTGGCAGCCTCCATCCTGTGCCCATCCCAAATTCCATCTGTATATCCTGCAGGTTGATGGGGAATCCAGTCTAGTGAGTAATGAGCCGCTGAAGAGTTGCCCCCTTCAGACCCACACATACACCTTGCTCATTACATGCCAGGTTTCAACAGCCGGTCACCATGATGGCTTGATAAAAGAGCTGGCATTGAGACATAAGTTCCTTTTGGAACTAAAAGAAAGTACAGTTTAAGCAGGGATCAGACACCTTCGTCAGCTCTTTACAAGCCTTCGTGAAGCATGAAATGTACTCTACTGCTTTGTGGGAGATTGAACCATTACAGCAGACTTCCTGTTGTTGGTCAAAAGGAATGTTCTGTATGCCCTAACAGCACTGACTCTGTAATCTGTCTTCCTCACGCTCCCCTTCTGAGCAGATTTAACAGTGCGATAGTGCCTAAAACGAATACAAAAAAAGGGACAGAATAACTTTAGAGCTAGTTTTTCCCAAGAATGTGTAAGCAAGCAACACGTAATACACGCCTTTGTTTCCACGCACCCCCCAAC